AGCCTGGTTGATCAGGTATCCTTTGGAGGATGGCTACTGATGGATTTGTTTTTAACATTCACTTAGGGCAGGAACAAGGTCATTGGTTTTAATATAAGATTAGGTTTAGTTAATTAGGTTGTTGAAGCAATGTTCCTTCCTAGTGCTGGGAAAATATTACCTACTGCAAGTAGTACGGCAATTGTGGTACTAACGTCAACCGAGAACAAAAATTAAATCCAGATCAAACACTAAAGCCCTTGGCCCACAAGTTCACTACGGGCTCACCATACTTTTGTTCTTTTGTTCCAAAAAGAAAAGACTTTTGTGGAACTTTTTATTCCGAGTAGCTGAATCTAAAACAACAACCTTGGCCTAGCATTATGGTAAAGGTCTAATTACACTATCGCTATTCATCATATTTTTCTATTGCGTGACAGTTGTTTACACCTCAGATGATTTCACCTACACACATACAAAAATAACGCATTTACATCCAGACATTGGCCTTGCACGTAGTGTGTGTGGCCTGCGGTTGGTGAGCAACGGGTACCTCCTTCAACACCACCACCAGCGCCACCTTCAAGACACCTCCCAGTCCCACCACCAGCACCACCTTCAACACACCACCCAGTCCCACCAGCACCATCTTCAGCAATATTCCTGTGGGTCCATTCACACAGCTTAGATAATTTCTTTTTGCCTTCAATTTATTCATATCTGTACCCCCCTGAGGTTCTACGTTCTCCCAATCAATAAGTGTAAATATCATCATATATTACAAATGGCGAGTATCTCTGGGAGCAGCTTGTTACTAACACAACCTATCCATCTACAAGTTTTGTACGCATAGCAATTATTTTTCCTGAAAGTATCAGTATGTACTGTTGGATCAAAAAAAGTTCACGTTTTGTACTATTCATTTTATAGGGTCCGAGAGAAAAAAAATACTAAAAACCAAACTTAAGCATTCCTGGGTCTAGTATAGTTCATATATGAGGTCTGTGCGTGTCTATGTGGCCTAGGATTCTTACACAGGTTAGGTTAAGTTCTTTAGTTACATTTCCGATTTTCTAGAATGCCATTCGGGCTAATTCAATAATTCAAAACGTGAACTTTTGGGGGTCTAACGGTACATATTGGTACATTTGACCAAATAGTTGCTAAAGGTACCATCATTTTAAGAGGGGATAGGCTGTATTGACGAGTTCAGTCTAGTCAAAACTAGTGTTACCCTTAGCTCAATCTATGAGTGCGCTTGACATTACATATTCAAATGACAATTATCTCTAGGCCCGGATTGCCACTAACGATCTCACGTTGGTCAAATCTAGTGTGTACCTCTTGGGTTTTCTCCATTCAGCTAAACAGACGCCATGAAGTTGTCACGACGAGACTCCGCATTGGGCACACGACCCTCCTCACGGCCGTGTGCTCCATGCTGCCGTGTGTGCAGTGTGGCTCTCCCTAACGGCCAGCATATTCTGACGGCCTGCTGGAGACGTGGTCGGGTGAGGCTCCTTGGTTCTTACCAGACATAGCGAATACAAATATTGTCATTATAGTTAAACTAATTACCTTAAGGATATTGGAATTTGTGTGTGTTCTCCATCTAACTCGAATTTGGTCAAAACCACTTTCTGGAACTTCCGGTCACGCTCGGTCAGACTGGCCTTCCGTTCCCAGCTTGGCGCTGGGAACGGAACCTTCGATAGAGCCTTCGCTCTATCACACCTTCCTTCAAGGCCCAGGGCGTCCTCCTAAGGTTTCCAACCTCAAGAAAACGGTCAAATTAAAGTGTCCTCTTTTACTCTACCAGAGGATCCAAAACAGAAAACGGGACAGTACGTCAGTTTCGTGACCCGCTTTCATTTTTCAAGATGTAATTCATGCCCGTGCCACCTCTTGGGTGGCTTAATCTTTATCAATCGGACCGTAGCACACAGCACCGCTCCTGTGCCAGATAAGCTACGGTCTCACCATAGCCCGTGATACTTGCAACTTGTTCCGTGTAGCTGAATCTATAACAACAGCAACAACAACTTTCGTTTTCTAGTACGACAATTTTTGGCCTTATGTAACGCATACGAGCGAAATGCGTAGTCAGTGGTTTAGCATACATAGCCACTGAAGTAGTCTGCAAATTTACATGACTAGTCCACACATCAAGAACCCCGGTAATGACAGAATAGAGTTAATTTTCAAGCCGTTCACATGCTAAAACCGTCCACATGCTAAAGCCGTGAATGCCAAGACATTAATTTAAATTCAAAATCCAATTGAACAAAATTCTCAGGAACACTGGGGAGGGGGGGGGAGAGGACCATTTGATAAAACCCGCTTCATGTCCCCATCGAGGCCACTAAGGAGATGGTAGCCTTCATATAAATAAATTTAGGTTATCAAATAGCCATTCTTGTACCCCTAACTGGTGGATTCACCTTAATCCAGCTTCATAAACGTTACGTTCAGCAACGCACACAGACTTGTACACATTGGGCAAGGGGGGAGACCCAGAGGTCATGGGAGAAACTATAAGTTCTGATGAACCATAAGAATGTAAGAAAATACTTGTTAAATGCATGAATACCGAACAAATGGAAAAAGGGTAAAAGGAGAGGTAGCCAAGGCTAATTCAATGGTTACTAGCAAGATGATTTGGACCCATTACAAATAGGCAACTGGTGACTGAAAGGCCAGGCCCAGGAGCTAAAGCTCGCTCTTCAAACACACAAACACATACAGATGAGGTGTATATAAAATATGAACCAGGAGGGCGCTCTGACTCTGCTGATAAAGACTTCTACTTGACCAGTGAAGCGTGGAGACCATTATAGAGGGCAGGTAAGGTCAGACATGAAGTGTATCAGTGCTGTTAATACTCCCGCGACACATCCTACCACGCCCACCACTGCCACGCCCAGCACAGTGCCCTGCCTAAAGCCCCGTATAGGTTCACAATCCAAGTGCCGTGGATGAGAACATGTGTACATACTTGACAAGGAAGCCAGTCTTTTGGGTTTAGTTTTCATATCCTGGTGGCGAAGTAGTAGTAAAATTCCCGAACCTAACCACCCACGCATAGAAATCGCAGTTGTTTGCGAGCCGCTATGATTTATAGTACGCAGTATTTTGTCCGTTGTGCATGGATTTTGACATCAAAATACGGTGTATTATTTGTAAGGACAGGTTGATACCAGCCCCTCACTCGTCTAACTCCCACTTGTGTCTCATCTTTCTCTTGCATCCACTTCATCACCACCCGCCCGCACCGGCCTTCTGCTGTTGGGTCTCAAGGTCAGTGGGGAAAGTTGAGAGATTGACCAACGTAGCCATGAGATCACTCAACAAGAGATGCTAGTAGCCTCTTAGTCACGCCAGTAGTCGCACTAGTAGCCAAGTAGTCATGCCAGTTTCTTAGTAGTCATGCCAGTTTCTTAGTAGTCATGCCAATTCCCTAGCAGTCATGTCAATAACCTAAGCGTCACACCAGTAGCCTAGTATTTGCGACATTAGTCCAGTGATGTCACGCTCTCGTGAAAAAGCATATATCATTTATTTTTCAATCTTCTTCCAGTTTTTCGTCGTCAGCTAATCAAACAACCATGATTTTAATCGTTACCAGCATCTTCCAATTCAATACGTCAATTCAAACTTCTTCCTTAGATTATTTTCATTTGACTTTTTAAGGTGTGCTCCTCGTGCCACATCTGTAGTCATAGGTGTGGTCGGTTCACCATCTTCAGAATGTCTCTTGTTTTCAAGCTGTCCACTTGAACTGGTCGGTACAGCGACAGCCAGTTCTAGCAATATCGGTATTCGATCCCCGATGATCCAAGTTGGTTATACACCTAGTCCTCATCTCTCTCTTTTTAGGTGCTTGGTACATTCTCCTTACAGCCTAATTTAGCTACCTACTAATCTTCTCCAGTTCATACACATCACATTTAAATCAATTATTCGTTTTCTTTCTAAATTTACATACTAAGGAATTGTATGATTGATAAATCATATGAATTGATCTCTATAAATTGATCGCAATATCAATAAAACTCACCAATATATTCGTGTTTTTGTTATCTCACCAATATATCATTAAGCGTTCCTCCAGCATGACTGACCCTGTTGGTGGGAGGAGCGCCCTTGGCCCTTTCGTGAAGTCTTGGCCAGCAATTGGCCGGGCCAGAGCCTTCTCACTACACTCTTCCGGCCACTCTTCCACCTCTCTCACCCCCCCACCCCATTCCCCATATCTCCCCCGGGACACAAAGACATTCCCAGCGGCGTGACGAGGGTTCATAGCTCTCGGGAGAGCAGAAGTCTGCTGGCAGTCACTGGAGATACTTGTGGTGGGCGGTCAACGGCAAGGTGGTGTCTTGAAAGGTTGTGTGGAGCCCAGCAGGTGCCTCCTTCGGTGTGCTCATGAGGAACTGGTGACATTTGTGATATATCCGAGTGACATTTCGTGGTTTTCGGTGGCGTTGGTTATTGTAGGTTTTAAGCCTGTACAACCTGGTCTAAGCGGTGTACACACTGCATGTTTGCACTTGTAAAAAAAACAATGTATATGTTTTCCTTTTCTTGTAAATATGAAAAGGATCAATCCCTTTATTGATATATTAATCCGTAGTCACGCCACTCAATTTATCCACTCAGTTCATTAAATGCAACGTTTTTTTTTTTTACATTAGCAGTTCAAAACTTTCTATAATTTCTGATAATTTAGGACTTAACGTTCGTACAAAATAAACGCTGTTAAAATTTTAAGAACTAAGATTCATCTTTTTCCATTGTAAATTACGTGGAAAATATTTATGATTGGCATTCTCGAGTTTGGTAAGCAAACATCATGTAGGGTTTTCGTTTTTTTTAAATATTTCCACCAAACAAATATCCTCATTAAATAGATTTACTTGAAATATTATAAATACTTGAAATAATATTATAAATATACGAAAGGCCATCATAATTTTATGTTTAAACCAAAATTAACAAATTTTGCAGTTTCTATTAGCAATATTGCTAAGGCCACAAGACAACTGTAACTTATACATAAGTAAGAGAGTATTGATACTGTTGTGAATGATGACCCCGCGGTTGACGCCAGGTCAGAGGTCAACGAGTGTTGTGGTGCTGGCGGCACTACTTGTAGGCAGTGCCCTGGCCACCTCCCTGTGTGACCTTCATCAGTGCCAGTGCCTCAGCACCTCCAGGGGCATCGATGTGTTTTGCAAGTGCCAACCTAGAGAGGTAATGTATTTACTCATCAGTTTTCATTTATCGCTACAGTGTGTGTGTGTGTGTGTGTGTGTGTGTGTGTGTGTGTGTGTGTGTGTGTGTGTGTGTGTGTGTGTGTGTGTGTGTGTGTGTGTGTGTGTGTGTGTGTGTGTGTGTACTCACCTAATTGTGCTTGCGGGGGTTGAGCTTTGGCTCTTTGGTGTGTGTGTTTGGTGTTTGTGTGTTTACTAGTTGTGTTTTGCGGGGGTTGAGCTTTGCTCTTTCGGCCCGCCTCTCAACTGTCAATCAACTGTTTACTAACTAACTACTAACTTACTAACTACTTTTTTTCCCCACACCACACACACACACACACACACCCCAGGAAGCAGCCCGTGACAGCTGACTAACTCCCAGGTACCTATTTACTGCTAGGTAACAGGGGCACTTAGGGTGAAAGAAACTTTGCCCATTTGGGCAAAGCCCGTGTGTGTGTGTGTGTGTGTGTGTGTGTGTGTGTGTGTGTGTGTGTGTGTGTGTGTGTGTGTGTGTGTGTGTGTGTGTGTGTGTGTGTGTGTGTGTGTGTGTGTGTGTATATGCGTGTGTGTATTTACTATTTGTGCCTGCAGAATCGAGCTATTAGCTCATAGACTCCGCCTTTCTAACCAATCCATTTTCCTCATTGTATTATATATTGTTTCGAAAGGACACAGATTAATATACATTTTGAATCCATACCAATCCTAATATGTTCCATCTAATTGAAGATCGATGAGTGTTAAGAACGTTGACAAATAAAAATGCATGTTTTTGCGGGAATAGAGTGGTTATCACATACAAAGACAGTACCTGCATTATCTTTAATATATTATAAATCATCAGAAAGACATACAAAATTACTGTATTCTACAACGCGTGGCATAAGTAGACACACCGTGTATGCGAGGATAAAGATTTGTAAACAATTAATAACGTGCAGTTGTCGTTTATGAAATCATTGTCCTGAAGGCGTATCGGTTGTGTTGTGGAAAGAAGTGGCTGCCATACATGCTACATCCTCAAGCTCACGATAATAACTTCTTGTTGTTTTAGATTCTGCTACTCGGAACAAAACGTTGCAACGTGAGCCCGTCGAACTCACCTGGCACAGAAGATGTGCTGATAATAACTGATGTTTGTTTTTTTAGATTTAGCTACTCGAAACTAAAATTTACATGTAGCACAGGCTATGGGATAATTACAGAAAAATCAGTCGTTTTTATACTCTGTACGAAGCGGGTTTTTTGTGTTTGAGATACATACAAGAGTTGTTACATTCTTGTACAGCCACTAGTACGCGTAGCGTTTCGGGCAGATCCCTGGAATACGATCCCCTCCGCGAAGAATCGTTTTTACAACCAAGTACACATTTTACTGTTGAGTTAAACAGAGGCTACAGTTAAGGATTTGCGCCCAGTAAAACCTCCCCGGCCAGGATACGAACCCATGACGTTTGACGTTACACGTTATGTTAGCAAGATGTATACCAACTCAAGTCTTAGATACTACTGCTTTTATCCGGCATGTGAAGCTACAATGTTACGCCGCGACACCCGTTCCTCTTTTTGTACTTCACCAAAGAAACAGTTGTATCTGTTCGGCAAATATTACCAGCAACACCCACATTACTCATTGTGTTAGGTAATAACTATCTATACTTCAAACTTAATAGCAATATTTACTAGATGCAGGTGGTTACAAAACCCATTCTGAATCCCAATCCCATATATGGGTCAGCAAGCCTAATGCTGTGTTCTAATTCATTCAAATGTTTATAACAGTTATCACTCAATTTCCTACAAATTTTCTATCAGTCATGGCAGGTACTTTCCTTCCAACAAGTTTGATGGTCAGAAAAGTTTGAAAGGGAAAAAATTATCATAAAGCCCTTAATAAGATAATCTAGTTCTTAGTCCGGCGGGTCATGTGGCCACGCTAAACATTAACAAGTTTCGTAGCCTTGACTGAGAACAATGATTGGTCTTTGTATCATGATTGTGTGAGCCTGAGCCAGAGATGCAGTCAAAGAATTTAGATTTTAAAATCGTAGGCATTTGATGCATTCAGCACTAAAAATCTCCCTCGCAGCATAAAGGTCAGAAGTAAACTCCTCCATTTTATAAAATAAATATCTAAGTTAGAGATCCACGCTTTATCAGATAATTAATTTAAATGAGTGAACAACTCATGGAATGTAGTAAGGGAGAAGACTCGGGGAAAGCGACTGTATAATGGAGTTAATATATGATCTCTATATTGTATATTATTTTATAAAGAAAAATTACTTGCATACAATAATCATGGCAATTTACTAGAAGCCTTGTACACCTAGTCACATGAAGTAGCGGGTTGCTGCTGGAGTGTGGCGGAGTTAGTTTATCCACCTGAATGGACAAATGACATTTTTATTTTATTACTATATGGGGTACCCCTGGTCTCTCCCCCCTCTTCACGCTCTCCTCTCTTTCCTTATCCCCATCTCCACTTCCCCCCCCCCCCACCCTCCTTATTCCTCTCTCTCTCTCTTTGCCCTCTTCTCCTTCCCTCACTCCCACCACCCCCTTCCTCTTACTCTTCCCATCTCCCCCATTTCACCTGTGAAACCAACCTGTCCTCTTAAAAATATCGTCGCTTTTGGCCGTTTGCCCGTACGGCCGAAAATGGACGTAATTTGAAAATGAAAAAAAAAATGAAAATATATTTGGGATTCTATTTTCAACAACAATAAGTTAAGGGTCCTCTGATAGGTTAGGTGGGCAGGAAATTCTCATAAAGTTTCAAAACGTTATGAAAAACGTTAATTGAAAGCTTCCTCTTTTAACCTTACCGCGTAAGCCAGACGACTCAAACAGAAAACGGAACAGTACGTCACTTTTGTGAGTCGATTTCATTTCAAATTACGTCCAAATTTGGCCATAGCGCGCATACGAGGCAAAGATTGATTGATGAAGATTAAGCCACCCAAGAGGTGGCACGGGCATGAATAGCCCGTAAGTGGTGGCCCTTTTGAGCCATTACCAGTATCAAAAGATGATACTGGAGATCTGTGGAGGCGCAACTGCACCCTGCGTGAATACGAGGCAAAAGTGACGTTATTTTTAAGAGGACGGGTTGCGGACGGAGGGAAGGAATGGTGCCCAACCACTTGTATGGTTGGGGATTGAACGCCGACCTGCATGGAGCGAGACAAGTGGTTGTCTCGCGTCCAGCCCAAGTGGTTGTGAAACCCTACACACGCCGTTTCACCAACCCGTCCTCTTAAAAATAACGTCACTTTTGCCTCGTATGCGCGCTATGGCCAAATTTGGACGTAATTTGAAATGAAATCGACTCACAAAAGTGACGTACTGTTCCGTTTTCTGTTTGAGTCGTCTGGCTTACGCGGTAAGGTTAAAAGAGGAAGCTTTCAATTAACGTTTTTCATAACGTTTTGAAACTTTATGAGAATTTCCTGCCCACCTAACCTATCAGAGGACCCTTAACTTACTGTTGTTGAAAATAGAATCCCAAATATATTTTCATTTTTTTTTCATTTTCAAATTACGTCCATTTTCGGCATCCCAACCACTTGTATGGTTGTCCGACCCCAAATCCTTATCCTGACCCTTTCCAAGTGTTATATAGTCGTGATAGCTTGGCGCTTTCTTCTGATAATTTCCTCCCTCCCTCCGGGTTTCACAACAATAATTTTATTTCACACTCCATGAGAATTGCAGGGGGGGGAGGGGGGCACTTAAGATGTCGATATTTACACACTAGGAAATCACGATGGCGTGAAATACATTATACGGAACTCATTGGAGCAACCCGGGGATTCCAACCAGCGTTCTGAGTCACCCTAGCCACGAGCTTTAACCCACTGGGCCATGATACCCTAAAGGTAATTTGTCATTCCGATATTTCTTAAAGTATGGCAATTGGGCCGACCCCGACTGGCCTATGACACTCCCATACCCCAATGTTTCAGACGAGTCTGGCTAATCCCTAGCATCTGGCCTCCTACTTCGGATAGACAATCTGTTTTATATAGATTTAATATCTATAACCTTTTATTCTATTATTATTTTTTCCTGGCTGTTGCCTTCCTGCCCCAAGAAGTGGAAAACTGGGTAATGATAATGTAAGTTGGCTATTTGTCTATATAATTTGTGTGTTTAGTACTGGTATAGAATTTATCCGGGTTCCTTTCCTTGATGAACGGACAACATATATTTAACAGTTTCCTGTACAGAATTCCATAGTAAATATGGGCTTAGGAACGTGGTCTCTGCCTGGCCTAGGAGTGTCTACCATGACTTCATTGATGACCAGACCACACACTAGAAGGTGAAGGGACGACGACGTTTCGGTCCGTCCTGGACCATTCTCAAGTCTTCTAGTGTGTGTGGTCTGGTCATCATACTTTAGCCACGTTATTGTGACTCATCGCCTGCATAACTTCATTCTACAACAGCACGGCTTATCGTACTTGCATTTCTATCTATCCTTTCTTCCAACAGAGGGTGACCATCAGGTCTTCGGAGCTGCCCTACAACGTGTTCAACCTGACTGTTGAGGGCTGCAGTTCACTTGGTATCTCCGGCTCCCTAGCCCCGCTACCTCTTCGATCCCTCACAATCAGGGGAGTAAAGTTTCTGAGACTCCCCATTCAAGCCTTCCTGTACGGCCTGCCTCACCTTGCTACTGTTGCCATACACGACACCAACATTCCTGTTATTCCTGCTTTCAGTTTTGGCGCCCTGGAAAGTATTGTCAGTATGGTCTTCGAGAAGGTTGAAATAGGTAAAATATCCAGCGATGCATTCTCAAATCTCGCGTATATTAGGGATTTAAAGTTCGTGAATTCAAAAATTGGTGACATCGAAAGGAACGCTTTTGGAAGGGGAAATGGTAATATTGGTTATTTTATTCTGGAGAACTCCTTCATAGATACCATCCGGGAGCGTGGCGTATGGTTCCAGCAGGCAGACGTCGCTCAAATAGACGGATGCAGAATAAATAAGATTGTAAACAGCGCCATCAAATTAAACAATGTGTTGTTCTACCTAACCAGAAGCAGTGTGAATAATTTCTATCCTGGAGGTATAAGTGGCAACTACTCCAGTGGTGTTATCATCGATAACAACTACATCAGCCAAGTGGTAGATCACAGCCAAGACCCCGGGACATTGCTGGACCTCCGTTACTCCAGACTTGGCGGGAGCACCATTACACCCTTCTTTCATTTTACTAATAATGTACTTACACGAACTATACCCAGACACGCTTTTTTCCTAACTAACCCGACGATTAATGTTGCTGTACCCAACAACACTATCGGTGAATGTTCGTGTATGGATTACAGAAACTTCCTTCGTTCACTGCAATCAATCTTAGATAACTACACCCTAAATGTCCATCAAGCATTGATAGAGAATGGGATTTGTCTTTCAGATAGAGACATTTATAGAATTGGTTGCAATAATCTGACTCCTCTGCTATCTGTAGAGGTTTTATCCACAAGTGTTCCAGTTCCCGTTAGAGAACAAAACCTTGGGGTTATAACAAAGACAGTTGCAGAGACGGGCAGAATCACAATAACTACGGCGAAAACTCCTCAAAGTAAATTCCCACTAACATCATTATCACAGTTATCCAAATCATTAATATCCCCAACAATCACAGCCCAAACGCAATTTGTTCCTACCGATCGGGCACTCCAACACCCCTCTACCGGGCAAGTTTGGGACCAGACATTGGGACCTGACGCATCGGTCTTCCCTCCTACCCTTCAAGCTCCAGGCACCGAAAAACCATTGGCTACAATCCGTTCCGCCCAAACACTGACGAATGACATAAACAGCCTCGACGCTCAGAGCATCTGGAATGAGATCTATGGTGGAGTGTTTTTCCTTAGACTTCGCAAGCCCTTCCAGGCGGCGTTCCCTGGTGCTCGACTTAGCATGAAGTTCAGCAAGGAGATCAAGCCGCTTGAATTTCACGGAGGAAAGCTGACGTTTGTCTCGCCACGGTAATATTGTAATGCTGTTTAATATAATGTGTAATTTAGGTTTGTACAATCTTCAGTTATTTGTGCATACATAGTTTCGAACCCGGGATTCCAAACTGTGAGTCGAGAACGAACTTAACTGTACTATCATGACCACCCACCTCAATCTGTATTGATAATGATGATAGTTAATGCTACTCTAACAACTGTTTTTTATTGTTCAGAGATGGCGTCTCATAACCCCTATTATTATGTTCCCCCATATCCAAAGGGGGGGGGGGTATGTATACCCACATTTAAAAACCCCACCTATATATAGAGAACGTTGATAAGCCTAACATCCTACATATCCCGGCAATGGGAAACTAATAAAGAAAAAGTAATGCACTTATTATATGCTATACATATACATATATGCAACTGATAGAATAAGGTAGTTATGCGGAGAAAACCATCTTACGGAGCTACTCGAGTTGTGTAGGTTTAGAAGAAACAAAAGCCTCAACTCCGGTCAACATGTAAACCAATGTAATGTATTTTATTTATTATGTGATATATTAAGACTGAATTGTTAGACATTTATACACAAAACACATTGATTGCTATTTTCATATTCGAATGATTTGTGTGGCTGTTTATTAATTAAATGTATTGAACTTATGATGCTTCTTATTTTCCCTTATCTTTAAAATATCTAAAACGGATTTTATTTACAAGCTCATTGTAAATTGTTTATTCAGTCCCTGAGCCCATTATGTGCCTCTGTAACCCTTTCCACTACCGCCCACAAGATGGGAATGGAGTGCATAATAAATGAACTAAACTAACCTATTCACTATAAAACTACAGTGGTCCAAAAGCCTCCATATATACGGAAAATTTGCACTTTTTATCAAAGTGTAAGGTAATTATCAGGAGAAAGTACCAAGCCACTACGACTATATAGCACACTGTTTATCAGTGTAACTTTATTCACAAAATATATCCCACATGGTTACAATCATTTGGACAACATATGGATGCGGCTCTCTCTCCCACTCAAGGTGAACTCCTCAAGCATCTTTTCCAAGCATTGGCAAAGAATTATAGACCAGTTGCACCAACGTCCCACATAATAAAAGTATTTGAGAGAGTGATCAGGAGTCAGGTCACTAGTTTCACGGAAACCAATGACCTCCATAACCCAGGCCAACATGGATTTAGAGCGGGAAGATTATGCCTCTCACTGCTACTTGACCACTATGACAAAATCACTGAGGCATTAGAAGAAAAACAATGCAGATGTGGTATACACGGACTTTGCAAAGGCATTCGATAAATGTGACCATGGAGTGATAGAACACAAAATGAGGTCAATGGGAATAACTGGTAAAGTAGGACGCTGGATACTCAGTTTTCTGTCGAACAGAACACAAAGAGTAACAGTCAACCATATAAAATCGAGTCCAAGCGCAGTTAAAAGCTCTGTACCTCAGGGTACACTCCTTGCCCCACTGCTTTTTCCTTATTCTCATATCAGATAAATACAAGTCACAGCTTCGTATCATCCTTTGCAGATGACATAAAAATCAGCATGAAAATTACCTATGTTGAAGACATTGAAAAACTACAAGCAGATATTAATAAAGTTTTCGACTGGGCAGCAGAAAATAACACAATGTTTAACAGTGATAAATTCCAGGTACTCGGTACAGTAAAAATGAGGACCTTTAACACAATACAGGGTACAAAACATAATCAAATCTGCCCATAATATGAAAACGGCACGTAAAGGATGTGGGAATATGTGTCTGACGACCTAACGTTTAGGGAGCATAAGCCAAGCAAATATTGCGCCAGCCAGAAAAATGATAGGATGGATTACGAGAACTTTCAAATCCAGGGATCCCATCACAATGGTTGTACTCTTCAAATCACTTGTGTTGTCCCGTCTTGAGTACTTCTCAGTACTTTCTTGAGTAACTTGTAACTTTCTTGAGTACTTCTCAGTACTCACTTCCCCCTTCAGAGCAGGAGAGATTGCTGAAATAAGAGGGAGTACAGAGAACATATATGGTATACATATGCAGGCGATGAGTCACAATAACGTGGCTAAAGTATGTTGACCAGACCACACTAGAAGGTGAAGGGACGACGACGTTTCGGTCCGTCCTGGACCATTCTCAAGTTGATTGTGATGAGGAAGTAGAGACAGGCAATAAATAGGCAAGAGAGAGCTGAGGAGCAAAGTAAGGTGTAGTAGAGGAGATAGTAATAATAATAAGAGCTGCAGAGGGCCTATTGGCCCATACGAGGCAGCTCCTATTATAACCACCGAAAGAGAAGGAGATAGGAATAAGAAGAGGATAGCAAGGGAGCGTAGAAGACAATGAACAGAAAAAGGGATAGAGAAAGAAAAGGAAAGAGAAAGAAAGATAAATGGAAGGGGTAGGCTTGTTAGGTCACGTGACCTAACATAAGCCTAACATGATTGCCATAGTAATGTTTGTTTCCATAGTAATGGCAATCATGGAAGCATATTTTGTGAATAAAGTTACACTTTATAACTTAACCTTTGAGTTAAGTTTCTTTAGTATGGAGACTTTTAGATTACCATGTATAAATAATAATAATAAAAACTGCATTTGTTTTTACTTACCTTAACGAAGATCCTCCATTGGTGTTCTTAATTAAAACACCTATTGCACAGTAATTTTGACGCTAACGGCCACAACGTCACATTTCTAATGATCTAACGAGATTTAAAACACCGCAATATTAACGTTTTCTCGGACCAACAACTTAGTAAGCGTAAGTGGTGTAACACTGAACTTGAAAGATCCTCGATCGATGGATAGGTTGATAGTTTAAGATGGGTGAGCTTCGGTTTAGACCAATTCGTGAAAACTATCTGAACTGAGAACAGTACAAAAGACACTATACTGTCCTTGAATACTTCTAAAATCACTAATTGAAACTTGGGTTAATGGGAATTATTCGGGCACAACTTCCCACCTGAATTGTACATCTTCCTCGGCATTTATTTATGCTAGAAATGGAACAATTACGCGCCAACAATAATGACACTCACAAACTTTCTATATCAATTTAACCTTTACGTCCATGTTAAAATATGTCTGCTCTGGTTAGGCTACTCTTGCCTGGCAGTCCCGCTACACATGCTCGCAAATATGTGACTTCCATCCAGGTAATTCACCAGTATCTTGACAAAAGTGACCACCACACACCACCACCGACACTTGTTATGATCGCGTCGTGTCAACTAGCAAGGGGCGAGGCGGACACGTGGTAAATAAGTCACCTATATTAATTACAATGTACTATGTATACTATAGTACTAGTTTAGTAAAAATACAAGCAAAATTGTAGTTACTATTAAAACTAAACACGAGTTTAGTTTAGTTCATTTATGATGACACTATACCTACCTTATGTGGTAGGGGAAAAAAAAGTGATTCGATGTACAAAGACTACACGAATATTCCTTTAGCTGAATGGGTTACAGCATTCATGTGCTAGCACAATCAGAAATGTTTTTTTAAAACATATATATATATATATGTATAATATATATATATATATATATATATATATATATATATATATATATATATATATATATATATATATATATATATATATATATGTCGTACCTAGTAGCCAGAATGCACTTCTCGGCCTACTAAACAAGGCCCGATTTGCCTAATAAGCCAAGTTTTCCTGAATTAATATATTTTCTCAAATTTTTTTCTTATGAAATGATAAAGCTACCCATTTCATTATGTACGAGGTCAATTTTTTTATATTGGATTTAAAATTAACGTAGATATATGACCGAACCTAACCAACCCTACCTAACCTATCTTTATAGGTTAGCTTAGGTTAGGTACCCGAAAAAGTTACGTTAGGTTAGGTTAGGTAGTCGAAAAACAATTCATGAAAACTTGGCTTATTAGGCAAATCGGGCCTTGCAAAGTAGGCCGAGAAGTGCCTTCTGGCTACTAGGTACGACATATATATATATATATATATATATATATATATATATATATATATATATATATATATATATATATATATATATATATATATATATATATATATAATATGTCGTACCTAGTAGCCAGAACGCACTTCTCAGCCTACTATGCAAGGCCCGATTTGCCTAATAAGCCAAGTTTTCCTGAATTAATATATTTTCTATAATTTTTTTCTGATGAAATGATAAAGCTACCCTTTTCATATGTATGAGGTCAATTATTTTTTATTGGAGTTAAAATTAACGTAGATATATGACCGAACCTAACCAACCCTACCTAACCTAACCTAACCTATCTTTATAGGTAAGGTTAGGTTAGGTAGCCAAAAAAGTTAGGTTAGGTTAGATAGGTTAGGTAGACGAAAAAACATTAATTCATGAAAACTTGGCTTATTAGGCAAATCGGGCCTTGCATAGTAGGCTGAGAAGTGAGTTCTGGCTATTAGGTACGACATATATATATATATATATATATATATATATATATATATATATATATATATATATATATATATATATATATATATATATATATATATATATAAGAGAATCACAAGGTCTTCTTGCAACTTGATTAGATCCTTCTAGTTTATATTGTGTAGTTTTCTTTGGTCCATACACTTCTTATTCGTATTGCATCACCTGTAGGAGTTGCCATGCACAATCCTTCCTATTTCTCTCGAGAAGGCATTTACATGTATCAGGAAGTATTCAAGAAACCAGGAATAGTTCAAGTACCATAACTTGTGAGACCCCATGTTTGCCACGTCCTTTTTCCTGACCTTGACCTTTTCCTGAGAGGCATTACAATAATTTTTATATAAAATTCTAATTCAGTCCAGTATCTTGTGAATCAGCCTTTTGTGTGGAAGTGAAAGTATCAAAGGTTTCTGATAATCTAAGACAATGTATTCTGTCCATTTTCATTCCTGTCGTTATACATCAGCAACTTTGCTGTAAAACTTAATCAAATTTTTCAGGCATGATTTTACTTTCTAAAACTAAACTACCTCTCCATTACAAAGCCATTTATCTCCGGATGTTCCACTATCCTCTTTTCCAATTACCTTCTGTGTTTAACATGAGACACGTCAGTGGCACCTATTTGTAATTTAAGGTTCCTTATCTAAATCTTCTAGAAAATGGATACCACACTTGCAATCTTCCGGGAATTCTCAATCCACGAACGACATTATTGACCTTAGTCAGAAGAATACATAATATCCCTGTTCCATTTTTCAATGTGCATGCGGAAATCTTGTGCAAGAATGGAAATAATTATGCCATACAGTACTATTATAATTTAAGTTTTCTCATTTTAACTTATTGCTGAAAATTTTGACTACATTTTTCTAAAGATGCAACAAGTAATTGTCAAAGAAGGTACCAAGCCAAGAAGACTAACACAGTATTGCAGGATATTCAAAAGATGTCAAGTATCACTCAAGATGTCAATACAAGAACAAAGGGACACAAATAGTAACATTAAAGATATCAGATTCACCAAGATTTCTATCGAGGGACAAGTGACCTGGAAGAACATTAGGAAAGCAAATATAACGATCCTGAAAATCGAGACATTCTATGAGGAGGTGCACAACTAAATGGGATAATGAGGTTTGGAAACACAGGAGCAAGACGTTGTATATTAAGTGCCCACAAGATAAGTGTGACTGATATGCAACCTAGCCATAGCCACTTCCCATCATCTATCATGTTGGTAGGAGGAAGGTCAAAGAAATAGGTCACTTTTTAGAGCATGCAGTTTGTTACCTGTAATGCCAGCCCAACTACCCTGCCAACGAGCAAGGATTGCAGAATGACTGCATGGAAATCTGAATAAGGAATCTTTTTCTGGGAAATGTTGCAAATACAAATGGGAACCCCATCAAAATTTGATCGTCTTATATCTGCTAGAAATGAGAAATGGTCAGTACAGTATTATATTTCAACCACCACAGGATGCAAAGGGTCAAAACTCAAGAGCCATAAGGGCACTGATAGTCAATCACAATGACAAATGAACACTGACACTGAAAAAAAAAATGCTGAGGAAGAGCATACAAAACTGCACAAGTTCTGCTGTGAAGATGCCAAGTCCTCAGGGGCAGGTGGCACATATAGGTTTGATCAGGTAAAAAATACCATCTACAGACTTAAATATTTTTTTATAAAATTTGCTTACATAATTAAAAAATATATTTAAACTTCAATTTTCAAAAATTACATTAAATGGATTCGAACACTTTTTGCTTAATAACTCGATGAAACTTCAAGCCAAGTCGCTCATCTTGATGGGTTTTCTAACAGCATTACTATAGCCCTCCTTGAAACGGAACCAAATGTCGCTCTTGACGATCTCATTGGTGGAATCTGTAAAGCATTTTATATTTTTTTAAGAACAGGTAAACAGGGAAAAGTACAGAAATGAGTAAAAGCAAAAGGAGGAAGATGAAGGAAGAAGGAGATGAATGAGACAAAAATGAATGGGATGGAGAAAGGAGGTAGGGAAGGAGCTGGAGAAAGGATATTAGAAGGGAAATGAAGGGAACAGCCTGGAGATCAGAAGAGAGATAGGGAGGGAGGTATTTGTGAGGTATCCTTTTCTTATATCTAGTTTCACCTTTTCAGACCGAGTACACCAGGAACATACATCTTCCTATTTGGCTGGATATTTGTGACGAGCCATTAAAGACATGATTGTACTCTGGAAAATACCTAAAACAAATTTGAAGCAGTGTCTCAGTGGGAATCAAACTTAAGAAGTTGAATTGTCAGGCCAGTATGACAGCCAACACCACTCTGGTGTTGGCTTTCCATACTGCTAAATACTGTAGCGTGTAAGATTTGGTAAATGGATGAGTGACATTTTGAACAGCTTTACCATTCTCTTCCAATACTTCTCTTTTGTATTCTCCAGGCTGATAATTCCTTCCCCCCCATAAAAGTGGAAAATGGGGTAATAAATTAATAAATGATAATTTAGCTAATGATATGTGAATAGGGCAAATTTTTACCACAACCCAGCATATTTAAGGTTTCAGTTGTATACTAGCTTAAACCTTAAACCATATTAGAAATAAATGTCACCTCAGCAAGAGATAAACTTTAGAGTTTTGGGTTGCTGGATCATAAGTAAGAATTCATAATAAATAAACCTACCTTTATCTGCTGGTCAACAGGCCGACTAATTATTCTGCCAAAAAAGTCCTTCGGAGCCTAAAATGAATAAAAGTAAATTGTTGAATGTAATGAAATACCTTTTTTTCTGGTGTCCGACACCCCCACCCCCAGTGGCTTCTCGAGCTTAGCTCAAGTACAGTACTGCAAAGTCTTGGCCTAAAACCACAGGCCTCCGAGATGCATCCATTGCCTACCAGGAACCAAGGCCAGAATCTGGCTCACCAGAGAAGCCAGCTTTCATGAAAGCCAGAAAATACTGACTGGGCTGATTTGTAAGAAAAGAGTGACAAAAGAGTTGGACCTAAGGCAACATCAACCATGCACCAAATGTTCTAACGCACACAAGAGTGGCGAGATAAAGGCATCATACAAAGAAAAAGTGGTAATCATTGGGACTGCCAGAGGTCCCAAACCCGGATATCAGCTGTGGACAAAATGGCAAAGCCACCAAATTAGCAAACATTCCTATATTGGGAAACAGTCAGCTGACTGGACTGAATCACTTCACAGGACGTGGGAATGGTGGGCCTTAGAACAAAGGATGTGAGAACCATGGGAATCAATCTGAGCCCAAAAAATCCAACAGAGAAAGGAGCACTCAAATACGATGTACTAAGGCTACAAGACAGCACATAAAAAAAAAAAAAATAGTTCATGAAAGAACAAAGTTCATGAAATGCAAACACAAGTTCAGTAAGCTATAAGTGAGAAGCCAATGACGGAGCATGTTGGCCCAGTGACCTGGGTTGCCATCTGGTGGTGGTGAGGCGCATCAGTCAGGGTATTTACCGTGCTTGTTTTATCCTGTGTATTCTTTCTGGTGGGTTCACCACAGTTTTGTTGCCAATCTCTGATCCCCTGCTCCCCTCACCTCACAGAGCCAGGGGCCAGATTTACGAAAGCACTTACGCAAACACTTACGAACCTGTGCATCTTTTCTCAATCTTTGGCGGCTTTGTTTCCAAATATTAAACAGTTAATGAGCTCCGAAGCACCAGGAGGCTGTTTATAACAATAGCAACAGTTGATTGACAAGTTTTCATGCTTGTAAACTGTTTAATAAATGTAACCAAAACCCTCAAAGATTGAGGAAAGATGTACACGTTCGTAAGTGCTTGCGTAAGTGCTTTCATGAATCTGGCCCCAGATTCTGATCTAGTTTCTAATATCTTGCCTTACCTTGGTAGGCAACAGATGGGTCTCAGAGGCCCGGTGTATTGGGTTAAGGCTTGGTGGTAACTGAACTATGCTCAACGAGAAACTGGGGGTCCTTCCCACAATATATATATTAATTTCCTGACAAAGTAGTATATCAACTTATGCAACATTTATATAATAGAAACAGTACAATAACATATTTGATGCAAGATATCAATTAGTAACAAAAATCTAAGCAAACTGTTCAAATCAACAGCAAAAATACTATTTTTTTCCATTTAATCATACCTGTACAGCTTCTCCAGAAGACGTCTTGCAGCTTCCCTGAGGAATGCCATTCAGCAAATTGTGTTTAGTAAGATAATCTCATCATTAGCTAGAACATCATAATATTTAAGACTACTTGTGCACGAAATCTACAGTGAATGTTATGAAATAAGTTCTATTTACTCAATTCTAATACACTGATATAAAAACACAAATTAAAATACAGCACGAGTTACCTGCTGGACGAGGTTCTGGGAGTTCTTCTACTTAAATTAACAACTTAATAGTTAGTTAGGGAGTTATAGAAAACAAAAATCTTCCAAGATACTTTAAACTCTAAAAAGAAGGCCTCAAAGATATATAATACTCAGAATATCCATTTCTCTAAGAAACCATATATTAATTTGTTATTCCTTATTCGTATATCAGTAAATCACAACTGTAGACCCTAACAACCGAGGGTGTTTTATTTTCCTCACATTTCCTCCTCCTCCTGCCCATTGTGTATTCACCAACACCCAGCCATACCAGATGTTTGCTACTGTGCGCGTAGCTAATGCTAACTTTACTCGTGCACTTATAAAAACATTACTCGCTACTCACATGTGTTTATAATTGTAAATCATATTAGTCCATAATCAAAACAATACTTTCAAGATTAAAGTTTTGAGATAAGATGAGATTAAAAACAACATTATTATATAATCCATACTATACAAGTGCAACAAAGAAATCTACACATTGAATGAAATTAGAAAAATTGCTCATCACATTCATATGTAATTGGCAAGCTAAGGTTGTGCAATGTGACCGCATTGGAAGAGAAGGTTCAGAAGAGATACAGTCACATTGTATGAGGTACTTCAAGGGATTGGCCAGCTAGATAGAGATAGTCTCTTCCACAGTGATAAAACAGAATGAAGGGGAGCATGGGTGGAAGCCAGAAACAAATATAGCAAGAGATGTATGGAAATACTCATATACAGTGAGAGTGAAGAACAAATGAAATGAACTGGGGAAAAAAAAAAAAAAAAAAAGAGGGTGGTGGAAGCCACACCTCCATACACGACTTAAGAGCAAGTATGAAAAAGTTCTAGAACACAGAGGAACACACACACACACATTTGGTACCCAAAAACTTGGATGCAGGATCCTAGATTTAGACAAGCATCCATTATCCTAAGAGTTACTGCCAGCCTAAAGTACGAGTTATAGCCAGCTTATTTGAAGTAAAAACAAATGATGGAGGGAAGGAGGGAGGAAGGAATAAGGAAGGGGTGGAGAAAGGGAAAGGCTGGAAAACAATACCCACAATATCAATAGTGTGTGTGATATTCTGCAATTTTTTATTTGTAGTGGAAAGGTTTTTGTAACTACAGGAGAAACTTAAGCTAGATGACTCAAAGGACAAGCCCAAATTAATTGCTTTGGGGTAAAATGTATTGTGCATGGTAATACAAATTGCATGTGAGCAATATGTCCCCATACACCTCATGGTCTATCATCCTTATTTCTCAAAAAAATATGCTAAGCATTTTTTTATTGTCAATTATATTTGTGCACGAGCTCAACATGCTTATTTCAGGAAGGGTCTGTATCAGAATAAAAAAAAAACACAGCATCACATAGAATTACAAATTACAGAGAAATGGCAGAGAATCAGAATGGTGGATCACACAGCTTAAAACTTTCACACTGTAATCAAATCAAAATTACATCAGAGGCACTGTCCTAAAATGTTCCAAAGCAGGTTAGTAAGAACAATAGACAATGTCTACAAGTCAAAAATTATTATCAGTGGTAAATACTTTTTACTAGAGCCAAGCTGAAAGAACCTTGCATTACCTTTATGGAAAAAGTTTCAGTTATAGGCTTAGGTTGCAATTTCTGAAGATGATTTGGCACCGAGCTTTTGGAAGCGGTGTTGGCCTCCGAGAGGTCCTTAGTTGATTTTTTGCTTGAAATCTGCTTTTCTATTGCATGACGCTTTGCACTAAATCTGGCCTCTTCATTCTAAAAAAAAGTAATAATCATAAAATTCAGAATTATAGTAAAAAACAAATGCATACAATTATATAATATAAATTTAAAGTGCATGTAAAGAAAGTCACAAAAAAGTAACACATTAAAAAAGTGAAGACATTTAAACATGACAATGATAAGTACAATGGACAGTAATGTCACACTTTGGCTCTTTTTAAATAAATGGGTTTATGTACTGGAAGTGCTTGTATTAGGGTTCTAAGAACAAAAGCAAAATACCTGATTTTTTCAGATACATTATACAGTATACTGTACTGTATCTACATCTACCTTTTACCTCTCCCACAGCATATGCTTCACCATCACTGTAACCCCTTTCCTGTACCTACCACTGTAACCCCCTCTCGTGTACCTACTACTGTAACCCCTCTCCTGTACACACCATTGTAACCCCTCTCCTGTACTCACCACCGTAACCCCTCTCCTGTACACACCACCGTAACCCCTCTCCTGTACACACCACCGTAACCCCTCTCCTGTACTCACCACCGTAACCCCTCTCCTGTACACACCACCGTAACCCCTCTCCTGTACACACCATTGTAACCCCTCCTGTACTCACCACCGTAACCCCTCTCCTGTACACACCACTTTAATTCCTCTCCTGTACCTAACCCATGTAAGAAAATAGATGTCAAAAACTCATTCCCAAATACCAATCGGCAACAAAGAGAAATTAGGAGCTTATCTTACGAACTTATCCTAACTTATCCTAATTGCATTTTCTAAATACCGTAAAATCGAATCTTACCAGCTTTTGATTAACAAAGTATGTTTCGGCCCTGCGTACTTTCTCCAATTCAATTTCCCGGGAAATTAATTGCCGAATAGGATAAGAAAGTTGCTTCGACGGCTTAAGATCAGGGAAACGAACAACATCTTCCATATTCCTGAAAGAACATACAACACTACAGTCTACAAGGTTATCCATAGCTATAACAGTCTCTCTAATGTATTTATTTATACATATACAGTATTTTTAAGTCAAATAAAAATTTGTCTTTGATGTGAAACAATACAAATTTAGTGACCTTCAAATGATTGAGACAAAAAACACTAAACAAAAAAATTATATTTATTCTAACAAAGCTTTAAGACAGCATTTGGACCAACTGGTGATAATTTAGGAATTCTGGTAAAGTTAAAGAGTTAAATCAAAGTTAATTGTTAATAAGTAGCCAAATTACATTTGCTGTACCCTTGAGTTTTCACTTATAAATTCATTGCGACTCCAAGGATAACCCTCACAAACTTTTTCTGAAAAACTGAAGACAATATTTTAAAGTACCTTGTTGAAAAAACAAGTTTCTCTATTAGAAGTTGACTTTCAAGGTAAGATTCTTTACTTGGCCCGTGTGCTTGACTGTAAAAAGTAAGTCTTTCCAAATAAGAATCTGATAAAAATATTGTTATTGGCTTTGCAAGAATGTATCACTTAATCACCAAAATGTCTACTTTCACAACCCACATTGTTCCTTCTTGTCCATATATAAACACACAAAATCAAATCAATGAATTAACAGCTGAAAGCATAAGCCAAAATACAAGCAGCCAAATGAATGACAGTCCTTGAAACAGCATTAGATAGAAATTTCATTAGACAATGTAGTTACGGCTGTAGTAACCTCGGGTGATGCACTCATCCCAGTTACAAAGAACAATTTACCTTTGTCACTGACATTTGACTAATCTTGGCATTTAGCCGGCATATAACTAATCTAAATCATGTTTGATTTAGGGGGCCCTGAAACAGTGAGCTCATTTTTCTTCTATTTATTTATTTATACTGTATATACAAGAGTTCTTACATTCTTGTACGGCCACTAGCAAGTGTAGCATTTCGGGCAGGTCCTTACTCCTATGTTTCCTGGAATACGACCCCACCTAATCGTTTAACAACCAGGTACCCATTTTACTGTTGGGTTAAACAGAGGGTACAGTTAAGGATTTGCGCCCGGTAAATCCTCCTCGGCCAGGATTCGAACCCAGTACAAAGCGCTCGCGAAACGCCACGCAAGCGTCTCACCACTACGACACGGGGGACCACGGGATTTCAAAGTTTGAAAGCAACAGCTCAAAGTACTTAAAAGTTACGAAGCTGTAATGTACAAACTTCATGTAGAATATTTCTCAGATGTTTAAATCTTCCTCCTTTTATATTTAAGGTGAATTATCTGCAATAATTATTAGCACTATATAATTCTTTTACATAGTAAACACATCCACAGAAGCTCTTGCAACATTTGTTAAGTTTTTCACTTATTAGTCTGGCCAATACCTGGGTGCAACAGTTATCATTTGGGGTAAACTTAGAAAAATGGCAATTGATGCAAGGAATGAAGAGTGCTTCAGAAAGTAAGAAAAATACAGAAGAAGTAAACAAAGAATAAAAAAGTAAAATAAACATAATTCATTAAAGGAGAAATGTGAAGATATAGAAGATTTACGTTTCCAAATAGTGCAGCAGTGTGTATGTTTAGCTAAAGACAAAGGACTATCACAACCTTGACTATGTCGACTAGGCTGTGACTCGTACGTCAGGCTGCGAGCAGTTGCGTCCAACAGCCTGGTTGACCAGTCCAGCAACGAGGAGGCTTGGTCGAGGACCATGGGAACGCTAAGCCCCGAAACCATCTCAAGGTAACCTCAAGGTATGTCTCCCAGGTATAGCTGCCGTAGGTATCCAACACCAACTGATCGACAACTTAACATTAATGTTATGCAGTATACTATTGCAATTATAGGAAATTAGGAACCTCTTGATAAAAGCTACATTTAAAAATGAAAAACTGAAAGGTGCTTTTTTTTTTGCCTCTATTGTAAAATAATTTCTTAAAATTTCAGTCTCAAGTCTAAATAAACTAAACACAACGTACTAATATTTTATTTTTTAATAAGATTTTCTATGCAACCTTCCTGTGCATTATCAATTACTGTACTTAATTACCTAAGTGTAGTTACAATACCTACGTCCTATAGGACGAAAGCTACACTCGTGGTTTCCCGTCTTCCCAGCACACGTTGTATAACGCTTTGAAATTACTGACAGGTTTGGCCTCCACCACCTTCTTACCTAACTTGTTCTATCCATCTACCACACTGTTTGCAAAAGTGAATTTTCTTATATTTCTTCGGCAACTTCTATTATAAATGAGGCAGTTGACTGTCCACTTGTTCAACCCACATCTGTAACCATATGCACAAACCAAAACCTAGCAAATGAAGCTTCTCAATCTCAGTCTCTCATAGGTTGACTAATTGTCCATGGATGAACTACTGAATAATTTTCTTGTCTTAGATTACTCTCAAACTGCATTGCACCCAAAGCCACTTATCTTCATCCTCTCTACTGTTCCCCATTCTTTCATTTATTGCATTTCTATTACTTGTGCCTTTGATTTTCTACTTTAAACACCTGTATATGATGATTAGGGAATCCATTTTTTTTTTGTACAATCTGTTTCTCAATGGAAATGTTTGAATTGTCCCATCAAAAGTCTTCACCAATCTCAAATATCTTGAAATATCTGAAGATAAGGAACTTTCTAAAAGGAAAAAGGAATAAGTCATCAGTGATACAGATAAATAGATGTATATTAAGTACCTAAGCACTGTAGTTCCCTTTATTACAAATCTAAAATCTTTTGCCAAATTCATCAACTCACGGATCCAAGATGAAGGAGTACTGCCCATCTAAGCTTCTTTCTTGAGTGTAGGTTAAGTTGTAACTTATCATGGTATTGATCAGTCCAGCCAAGTCTTCCTTTTCTTGTTTACTGTACAGCTGAGTATTCACCTGATTAAGAAAATACACCCTATGAATTAAATGGGTAACTAGTGAAAGTTTGCAAGGCCTTAAAAGACCCATTCTAAGGGAAATAAAACCGACATAAAAATAAGCCAAATTAGTTACCATTTCAGAAGTTTTGCAGCACAAAAGTTTTGGTACCAGCATAAAAACTGAAAATATAAATTCTTATCCACACACACACACACACTAAAGATCTTGTACATACCATCCTGAGGAAATACTGTACATCAAATATATATCCACTAGTTAAACACACGTGATATCCGGGTGTGGCAACCCCAACACCCGCCAATATGTAACTGTTGTCGCCAAAGACAGCTTATGTTTTTGTATAATTGGAATTCTAAAGGGCATAACAAAAAGTGAAACAAACTACAAGCTTAACCTGTCATAGGCTTCAATAAACAATCCCAGGTCAAACCTATAAAATCTTAAGTCTAATATAGCACATTTATGTCCTCTACCTGTAATAGGAAAATGTAGATATGGTTCTCTCCTTCCTTATACCCTCGACAAAATACTAAAATACAAAATGTGTACTTTTTTTTTTCTCCCCCACTACAACCGTCCACATTTTGTATTACCATCCACAGTAGCTATAGGTACTATAATTTTTTGATGACAGGTTACTATAACTTACACCTGAAACAATCCTCCATTATATTACCCGGTAATTTGTTCCATAACTCTACATCCCTAAAACTAATAAAAACTGCACTATATCATTCTGCATATCATCATTATACTAATCTCTCTCATCTCATTTTTTTTCTTGCAATGTATTTGTTATCATTTTATTAATTCTGATAGAATTTACCTACTTAAAATTATCTGTTAGATTAAGGACCTGCCCGAAACGCTGCGCATACTAGTGGCTTTACAAGATTGTAAATACTGTACTATGCTATATATTCTCACAAACCCAATGTACCTTCTTGTATATAAATAATTAAATAAATAAGTTATGCACACATTACCTATTTTAACCAAAACTGCAATGACTTACTGGACGTAGAGTAGGCTGAATGATGTAGAGCAGATGGGGCAGAATATCTTGCACTAGTGAACTTCCTCCCGCAAACACCCGTGTTAGTGGACTCATTTCATTTACCATGGCTGTCTGCAAATTCTTGTTCTTCAACAATTTCTGATTTGTCTGTGAGGAACCACGGTTCATATGCAGACAATAAGTCACAAGGAATGCAAAATTATATGAACATGTTTACTGATATACTGAGCTACTAGGGAAGATAAAAGACTTAGATGAGTGGCATGCTTTTCAAGACGACCAGGACGTACGTGTACTATCAGGAGAGAGCGCCAAGTCATTGCGACTATATAGCACTGGGCAGGGATCAGGATAAGGATATGGGATGGGATGGGACTGGGGGGGGGGGGTGGTAAGGAATGGTGACCAACCACTTGGACGGTCGGGGAATGAACGCCGACCTGCATGAAGCGAGACCGTCGCTCTACCGTCCAGCCCAAGTGGTTGGGTAGATGACCAGGACAAAACAAGTGACTTAGCAATACTTGTCTGATGGAATATAATGTGAATAAATGCCATGTTATGGAATGTGGAATTGGAGAAAACAGGCCCCACAAAACCTGCGAATTATGTGAAGAGGCTCTAAAGATTTCTGATAAAGAAATAGGGTGCTTCAAGGAGAGAGAAAAAAAAAAAACTGTCGCCCACGGACTACATAAAGGACATTGTGCAAGGACCCTATGCTACACTTTCCAACTTCAGAATTGTATTTTAAATACATAGATGGCAAAATATTAAAGAAATTGCTCATGACCTTTGCAAGACCAAAATTGGAATATGTACTGGCTGTATGATGCCCATATCTCAAGAAGCACATCTATAAACTGGAAAAGGTGGAAGACATGCAACTAAATGGCTTCTGGAACTAAAAATCAAGAGCTATGAGGAGACTCAAGGCATTAAATACACCACAGCTAGAAGACAAGAAAAAGAGGTGATATGATCACTATGTACAAAATAGTAATGGGAATTGACAAAATTTATAAAGAAGAATTCTTGAAACCAGGAACCTCAAGAACAAGAGGTCATAGACTTTATGTAAGAAAACAAAGCTGTCAAAAAAATGTTAACCAAAAGAGGTTAACATTAAACCATAAGTAGGTTTTAAAGCACCCCAAGACAAAGAGTACACTACTAGGAAGACGGGATACGATGAATGTAGCTCTCATCCTGTAACTACACTTAAGTAATCAAACAATAACATCACTGAAAATTAGACACAACCCACAAATCTGGAAATAAAGGTATTAAGACATTTTTGTCCATCCTAAGCCATTATGAAGTCATGTGATGGAACATGAGATCTTTCTGAGGTCTTCCCCCCCTTTCCTCTTACATTAACTCACTGTTTTCAGTTTCTTTGATACTCCCTTACCCACTGGGGCACCTTTCCTGTTACTCCTGCCTGTTTCTCCAACTTTTGCACCAGCCTCTTACTGGGTACTGTGCCAAGGTCTTTCTGACACTCCACAAAAATGCGGTCTGGCCACATCGCCTTGCATGTCATACAAATTAAGGATCATGGCCTGTAGTTCAGTGCCTTCTGCCCGTCAGCCAGGCTGCATGAAGCAGCACAACTTCCAACACTAATATATGGATGCGAGACCATAGTGTAATATAATTCTTGTTGTTAAGAACAGGACATCTGTACTTAGGCACATTGAGGTTCCTCCTAGGCCAGCTACTGACCTTTCCACAATGCAACTCACAACACTTGCCTAATTCCCAGGTACCTATTTTACTGCTAGGTGAACAGGTCCATCAGGTAAAAGGAAATGCACCCAACCATTTCTGACCTTTCCAGGAACATGAAAATTTAATAATTAGAGATTAGGAATGAACAACCTTAAAAGCATGTATGGTGCTAAGAGGAAAACTGAGCAGAGACTGAAAATGTCACAGATGTGTGCAAAATTCGATAAACTAAAAGACTGAAGAGAGCATATTGAGTTGATTTTGTCATTCTGAACATATGAATGTTGGCAGACAAGAGAGTATTCCAGTGAATTTGTGGGTAGGAGGAGAGGAAGGTGAGGCAAGTGGGCAGAAATGCAAAGTGTGAACACCACACAATCGGGAATTCTTAGTACAAATCCCGGGAGGGACAGAAATGGTTGGGCACCTCACCTGTTCACCAAGTAGTAAATAGGTACCCAGGAGTTAGTCAGCTTGTTGTGGGGTTGCATCCTGGGGAGGGTCAGTAATTGGACCTTGGGGGACTTTTATAAATAGTAAATCTAACATGTATATATATACTGGCTGCCTGTCCCCTGACACAATGCATTATTATTATTATTATACATTAAGAGACAAGGCTGGGTGGAGGTGGTTTGCAAGTATGAAGAATTTAAAAGTACAGTACTGTTTGTGAAAATTAAAGAGAAACCCCATACTTGTTTGACTGCCACTTGTCATGCCAAGGGAGGGTTTATTACATCTTTAATGGTTTATCTCTTGACTGAATTGATTTACTTCTCTAGTGACTTCCTCAGCCCATTATAACCCTGCTGGGATGTTTTGAGAATTAACTGTGCCAGTATGCTGTATGTGTTACCCCCTGGCCGAATACTCATTCCAATTCCAAGGATGTAGTAGTATCTTACACAAGGGAGTAGCTGAGGGTAGGAGTTGAGAAATTAAATTGATAAAACTGACACTAAAAGACTGTACATCTTTAAAGCAGATCAGACAATTTTATGATCAAAAGGGCATTTAACTTGTATAACTTATGTAAAACTAATTTTTGTTTGTGGTCAATACAATATTCAACAATGACTGAACAACTCCCTTACAAAGAAAAAATTGGTACTGAATATCTAAATCTCCATCAAAGTGGCTACAGAACCTAAAATGAATATATATTACCTTAAACAAACCAGAGGGCATGTGTACTAAATCTGAGAGAATTTGGTAAGCATTACCAAGATGTTGGTAAAAGTCATATGCATGACCAAAACAAATAATTCAATATATAATTAGTTCCTGAAACAGCCACCAGTAAATTACAAGGCTGCAAGTTGAGTTAATTACTTCACAATACAAAACTAAAATTACCTCGTGCATTTGATTCGGATACTGTATTTTAGGCCAGTGGTGAGAAGCAAAGAGAAGGTGGTATGACACACAGGCATATGGCAGAAAGGCCATCATTGTCCATGACTGACTGTGCATGATTTCCTTCTGCATTAAGTCTGTAAAGGTTGCCCATTCAAGTCCCATGGAAACCTGAAAAAATACAAATATAAAAATGATAGCTCAACTATAAACCTAGAAATTATTTAACATACTTTGCTAATGATTCATATTCCCAAAATTTCTTCATAAGCTAAAAATACAGTGGAACCTCGGTGTACAATTGCACCCAAATACAAATTTGTTCTCATACAACGAAAATTGTCGGAAAATATGCCTTGGTGTACGACATTCACTCCAGAGTATGACGCTTGTTCATACTTGTCTCGTCGGTAAGATTAGCTTACACTTGTATGCCGCCTAATGATAACCGTGACTGAATTCTGTGAACAATTTCATCATTGTTGTGCTTATTTTTTTATTGCTTAACATAAAAGTTCTCATTATATATCATGCCATGAGCTCAAAGAATGTCAGTAGTAAAGTTCAACCCAAGGAAATGGTTGTGAGGATGACGATAGAAGAAAAAAAAAGTGATCATTCGTAAACATGAAGACTGTATGCGCATGGTTGATCTGGGTAGGAAATTGTGTACAGTATGGGAAGAACTGCAAAGTTTTGCTGAAAAGATTCGCCCAGATAAAGCTGAAGCAAGCTGTTGTGTAAACCTTTTTGATGACAATGTGACGTCTCACTACAGACAATTGTTAAAACGTACGCAAAAAACCAGCATTGAATGTAATGAAATGCATTTTCTGGGCGAGCCTCAGAGGCTCCCTGAAGCTATCCGAACTGATATAGTGCTATATTAGTTTGGGGGTCATCATTCTCAGAAGTCCTTCATCTACCAGGGACCACAAAAGCCAGAAACTGGCCCCCTTCAGAGGCGCAGGAAGCAATGGCCTATAAGAACTTTATATTTAAAATGTCTTCTTCTTCTTGATGGTACAAGCAGTTTGCATGACAAGTTTATCCTCCTGATGACTGCACGATTACAAATGTTGGGAGACGTGTTAATGTTGAGATTGACAAGGTTTCGAAAGTGTTTGTTGTGTTGCAGTGTAAATAGAGGAGCGGCGACTAAACGGCAGTGTGTGTCAGAGGGAGACTTGATGCACCGTAGGGCGTGATGATGTATTTATAGTGTCAACTGATCCTTGGTGCTGTGAGGAGGCAGTTGTTCTCTGTGTTTGGCTGTTGGTGGCACCAGGTATAAATGTGACAGGTCAAATGTGGCCCAATTTGTTGGTCGACTAGAGATATGGTAAAAGGTATTTTAAGTGCAATAAGTACTTGCTTGAAGTTTACTCTGGCCCTATAATGTTGGAAACAGTGAAGTAGATAGTGTTCAATTATTTCTGGCACATGACAGTGGATGCAGAGTTCAATGATGTCTGTTCTGTATTTAGAGCAGTGTGTTGCCAGTTTGGTGTGTCCAATCTGGTCATTGTTACATCAATTTCTCTGCTTTAATACCTGACATGTTTCAGAGTTTCCCATTTCTTTTTTATGGACCCATAATACAAAGATGAGCATCACATTTTCCATTTCATTACAACATATTGAGTGATGGTATCATTGAAAGTTCTACTATGTGCAACACAAGGAATTGGATCTTGAGGTTATTTTGAGATGATTTCGGGGCTTTTAGTGTCCCCGCGGCCTGGTCTTCGACCAGGTCTCCACCCCCAGGAAGCAGCCCGTGACAGCTGACTAACACCCAGGTACCTATTTTACTGCTAGGTAACAGGGGCATAGGGCGAAAGAAACTCTGCCCATTGTTTCTCGCCGGCGCCTGGGATCGAACCCAGGACCACAGGATCACAAGTCCAGCGTGCTGTCCACTCGGCCGACCGGCTCCCGGATGATGATGGGTAATTTAAGGCGTGTTGTGCATCGCTTTGGCCAGGTGATGTATAAGTTCATTATGGAGTATACCACACTGCACTGGGACCCACTGGATTGCTAGTACAAATGAAGAGTTGATAGTGAACTTAGAGAAAGGAACTAAACAAAGAACTTTAGTGGCATGCGAGATGGATACAAGAAATTTAGTTAAGAATGCTAAAGAAATGAATAGAGCTGCACAACTTAATAGAAGAATGAAAATTGGAATTTTAGGATTACAAAGTGAATGAGAAGGGGCATGAAAACCAGGAGTATAAGAGTAAAGATCTATTAAGCTAGAAAATAAGCAAATGGGGAGGCTAATTGAAGAAAAGTATTCAGAACATTAGAAGCTCTTTTTGAAAAACATTAAGAGAGAGTATCAGAGACTGGAGGACAGGTCTCTCTTAAACTAATATTAAAGATAAACACTTCCATTATTTGTTTTCAAGATATTGCTAAAGGTCAATCCTGCCTCAATTTATAAAGTATCTAAAATCTGTCACGAGAGAAAAATATGGCTCAATAACAATTAGAATCACCTTGGAAGGACATATACAAGTCTTAAAAATTTCAAATTGATAAAATTGATACACAAAGCCATACACCAGATATTACAAAAAGAAAAATACATTACTTCAAATAAAACTTCACAGTACTACTGGCCATTGTAGTAAAATTACTTACAGGATCCATATTTGTGTGCTTAAATTTGATGCTGGGAAAGTTCTCAAACCATCCTTGTGTGAGTCTGTCATACTCTCCACATGACTGAGTCGTCTTCAATATATTCTGAAAACGAAAAGCCGTAGATGTTTGCTCACCAAAATTTTCAATGTCTTCATTTATTTCTGGCATGGCTATGAGAACGCCATCATTATGCTGGAGCTCATGCGGGTTTGCCCGTCTCTTTCTGTTGGGAAAAATAATTATGTTGTTAGTACTGTATCTTGTAGTAGTATATATATCTAATATTTGTTATCATTTTATTTAAGAATTGGCTAGCACTCTGGCTTCTCTCATTGTTTACATATATTGTGCAGTGTAGGCTAGTATAGTATAATTGATCAAAACTAAAAATTTGATTGTAATGTAAACAATAAATGTATGAAAAATAAATTAGGCTGTTAATAGCATTCTTAGATTTCTGTATGAATCCTTATACAGTACATCCTTATCCCACTACTAATTTTGTATCTGCCCAGAAATGAAGATGTGAAAAAATTTATGAAAACATGGGACTTGAAAAATCATATTATGAAAAAAGGAATGCAAGTCAGTACAGTATTGAAGCTTGTTCAACCCCACATTACTAAAATTCAGGACATTTTTTCAACTTTGTAATCTGTATTATTAATTTTTAAGACTACATTAATGTTTTTTGTCACATGCAGATTTATTTGTGTTATGTCTATCTTTTGTGTGTTCTTGATAGCAGACTACTGTATAATTAATAGGGAGCAGACTTACCGTTTAGGTCTTGGTATAGAGAATATTTGATGCCAGACATTAAACAGAGAGCGCTGATAGTCTTTCTGTCCGACAGAAGCACCATCAATGTCCTTCAGACTCAGGGATTTCTTTGTACTCCTGAAACCAAATGCCAATGTCAGGTCATGCTGGACTGTTATACTGTATATCATTCTTTGACCTCACTTCCCATTTTTATGAAGTGGGGGAGAATTGTGGAGAGGGGCAAGAGAGGCACACACACACACACACCAAGACAAGATGCATAGACAGGGGCGGCTCTTGCCTTGAAAGAATTTCTTTGGTTTGAAGGCGCTCAACAGAAAAGGATGTCATGGAGGTAACATTCAATGACACCTGAACACTCTTACTACCTTCTACAAAGAAGTTTCATGGGGAAAATAATAATCCACTCACCAGCAAAGCCTAACAGTGGTATTTCTAGTTTCATAAATTGCGTGTAAAACGTCGTCGTCATCATCATCACCATTACATCATTATTTACCACTTGTGTTCAGTGAAGAGGCATCAGCCCATAACAAGATAGATGAGAACTAGAGGAGAGTATTAAGGATACTGATAAAGACCAGCACCATTATATTTCAGCAATAAAGAGCAGCAGTACCCTCTCCAATGTAATTATAGTAAATTATATTTTTTTGCATAGCTTACAAACACACCAGACTTTTCATTCAATTGCCATATGCCTATTTTATTCTTTGTCTTTCCTCCCTTCCTCCCATCCTTACCTTTAGCAAACACTTATTCACAGTGATTATATACCAGTCTATATTATCATTATAAAAATCTTACCCAAATCTTTATTTGAAATCCCACTACCTTTTACATATTTATTTCCAAAATTTAGTAAATTTTTTAAGTCATAATTTAAGAGCAAGATACTGTACTACACACTATTTTTCTGTTTTACTTTCCTATTTTAAATAAATGTACAAACACTTAAGCCCATTATTCTACTCATGGATATTTTACATTTATAAACAGTGTATATAAATTAAGAGACTCCTGGAATGAAGTGCTTCAAAATTGGACTTGTGCCCAGTACCAGACCATCTTATACCTTCCCTCTCTTCCCCCCAGTTTCCATAAGGAACTCCACTTTCGTTACGTTCTCTAACAATGTTCTGATCCCACATCATAACATCGGCTAACACAGCATGTCCTAAGTTGATGTTGAATGTAGTGATTGCACACTAAGACTGTCGAGAAAATAGTAGCTTGTCTTGTGTGCGAGTAAAACAATTCATATTTATCTGAGTTGAGAAAATCTGCAGGTACAGAATAAAGATTACCCTCAACAAGCTTATCTAAATGAAGAAAGCTGCAGGGAAGAAACACCACATGAAAAGACAAGCAAGAGACATGCAGAAACAAATACTGCAACAATATTTACTGAAAGGGTGTTGGCCGAGAAAAATAAGACACTGCCACATTGTACAGAAGTGTTCGAGTTAAGCCCATGAAATGAGGACAACTGGTCAAGTAAATTGTTTATTAAAAAGCCATCTTGGTAAAGAAAATTAAGGTACTAGAATTAACTTCAAATCAAACTTGCAAACACAGTACCTGACAAATTGCAGAACAGAGAGACAAGATCGGATATCATTCTCCGTTTTATCACAGAGCGCCATGAGGACCGTCAGGTCAGCTTTTAATTGTCGCTTCCTGCTAATTTCAAGAAGCCTGTGTGCCAGCCTGTAAACAAAATAACATCAGGTGTGAAATCTAATCATGAATTTTAGGAATATAATAATAATGTAGGATTTAATTAGAAATTTTTATAAATAAACCTTTGATGAGAGACAGTCAATAATAAATATTAAAAAAATATCAAACAAGCTACAACATACCATTCCTGCTTCACCCATTCAAACTCCAAATTAACGACAAAAACAAAGTTCTCACTAAAAAAATTTTTTTTCTTTACATTAATGAACTTAAAACCAAGACCAGAGACTGCAGCAGAAAACAATCTGTAAGTTATATATATATCTATATATATATATATATATATATATATATATATATATATATATATATATATATATATATATATATATATATATCTATATATATATATATATATATATAATATATATATATATATATATACTGAGGAAATCTGTGCACTTATTTTTTTTCATTTTGTTGTGTACACAGAGCTCACATATGAATTTTGACACACAATATGTGGATATCAACATATCTACAAAACATACATCTGAGGGTTAATTTTGCAGCTCTGCTTTTATGTCACCTACATAAAAATTGGAAGATGTTGGTCCTAAAGATACAGGGGGCCTAACAGCTGAGTGGACAATGCTCGGGATTTGTAGTCCTGAGTTTCTGGGTTCAATACCCGGTGGAGGCGGAAACAAATGGGCAGTTTCTTTCACCTTGATGCCCCTGTTACCTAGCAGTAAATAGGTACCTGGGAGTTAGACAGATGCTACAGGCTGCTTCCTGGGGTGTGTGTGTGTAACTAAAAGGAGGCTTGGTCAAGGACCGGGCCGCAGGGATGCTAAGCCCCAAAATCATCTCAAGATAACCTCAAGAAGATAACCCATTGTTACACCATTCACTTGGCACAACAGCCTGCCATCAGGCATACAGAAAGTGGTTTTGGTGTTATAGACCCATAGTAAACCTTCCATGATGCTTGGCCAGATCTAATGTCGAGGAAATTATATGTGGCAGATATTGCCCAGCAGCAGTCATATGTGGCAGATATTGCCCAGCAGCAGTCATATGTGGCAGAAATTATTGATTTCATATGCACATGTAAACCTGAGCATCTGATCAGAGCTCCACGTGCCCACTTTAATAAGGCAGTGAACAGAGCATTGAAATAATTAGGTGGTTAGTAAAGTGTAAACTGAGGTGTTCCTTAGGGTACCATTTACTGTTTATAGTTGCCTTATACATGTCCCTTTGTCCAGATTAGTTTTGTACAACTCCAATTAGGGTAAAGAAATTCCAAGTGTTTTAGTGATAAACCTTGTTGAATAAACTTGTTACTGAACACAACATTTCAGTAAAGCCTTCTCCTATAGAAATACTGTGAATCCCTTTGCTCATTCAGTAAATCGCACTAGAATTAATAAAAAACTAATAACAATGATGACCTTAATGAGTCTCCCTGCCCAAGTATGTGCAGGAGTTTCTCATGATCTCTGGCACACCTGTCTGAGAAAGCCATTTGCAGTGAAGCCCTACATTGTTAAGTTGGACCTGAGGATGTATGCTCTGGCAATCTAAACCAATTTCCTAAATAACCTCTGCAAGTGGTCTATCACATGCAATATACAATCAGGCAGTCACTGCAAGCAGACGTTGTCAGAAAACAGTAGAATCCTACACTTTTAACTATGGTATATATATCTTTGATACATAAAAAAATTCTTTAGCGGATGAAAAAGGGAAATTTTTACCGTGAAGTTGGAGTTGGTGGAAACTGGATGACAAGAGCCATCTGACGTAGAGGTCGTAGAGCTGGAGTGTAAAGTTCATTACAAATACAAATCACAGGCCTCTGTAAAAATACTGGCCCTTCCTTCTTCTTTCCCTTCTTTCCTTTCCCACCAGTCTCTTTCCCATTGAGCATGTTGATCAGAAGGTTGATGGAAGGCTGTGCAAGAGATGTAGACAACCCAGTCAAAAATATTGTGCAGTAGTACTGCAGTCAGGTATAACTTGAAGTTTTTAAGTCATGGAGATATTATTACATGGTGACCCATGAGCAAGGAACCATTTTCCACACATCAGGAAAAATTTTCCACACATGTGGAACCAAAGGTCGAATCTGTGACACTGGTTTATAAACAAAATTTACTGTACTCAATATGTCCATTATGATTGATTCATTGATCAATATTATTCACTGCTACTTTATATCTGGCTCATCATTATCATTACCCCGTTCCCTACTTTCATGGGGGTAGGGGTGGTAACAGCATGGAAGGGGAAAATATATAGGGAAGGGAACTCATTGCTTATGAATATTTTGACTAAATCACTATACAGTGTACAGAACTTGCATCACATAAAGAGATGCATTATCCATCTTTTGTTAAAGGAAAAATAACCTCCATAAGACTTACAGCTGGAGCACCATCAATCTCATCTATGATTAGACAGTTGGGTCGTGGGGCAGGACCCAATACCGATTTCATGGATGTTGCATTTTCTAGGTTAGTTCGAAACGTGTCGACTGATCTGTCATCACTGGCATTCATTTCAACCACGTTATAGCCCGCATGACAGGCAATTATGTGCGCCAATGTGGTCTTTCCCAATCCTGGTGGTCCACATAGAAGAATAACCTGTTAAAACACATATAATGAGTACTATCAAGAAATGAACATGTAAAAATACAAATGAATGTACTTTCGCTTAATTATCATCTTAAAGATCAAAGAAACTAAATTTTAAAATAATACACTGCTAAATATTTTGTGCACTTTAATATAATTAATTTACTGTATGGATAACAATTGCTAATGGTACAAATTTGCACTCGCACGAAAGCTGCACAAGCAATGCTCCGAGGTGTCACCATCTACTACACGCTGTCCACCGCACATCTTCCCCCTTCTAAATGACTTTTCAAAGCTTTACAGTTTCTTACAGCCAAGGAGCCTACAAAAATGTAAACCATTCATCCTGACTCTGCTTATCAAGTATCAACCCGCCCATCTTCAGATTAGTTAATTCATTAAAAAAATGATACACAGTGCATTTTACTACTACTTAGAAAATACATTAATGTACTATATGAAGACCATGCATAACCTGTACAGTACATACCTTTTGTTGTGGACGGTTTTTTTCATCCAATTCATCTACAACTTCTGTGCCAGTTTTCTTTGGAAATTTGTTGAAGGGCTTATCTGAGAAATTAAAATTTGTTAAGTATAACATTACATATTTTAAATATAAACCAGTTTATATTTTAAAAACAACCAGAGCAGAAAAGACAAACCACACTCGGGAAACATTGCATTAGTCATTCACCTCACCTGGAAAGTCTTTTTTCTTCTCTTCTTTCTTTTTAGGCTTTTTATCAATCCCAAAAACAAGTTTATCCCAAAGTTTCATCCAGTGAAGTACTGTACGATTTGTAGACTGAAAATATAAATAGCGATTATAGTACCGAGCAACAATAATCTTTATGAATCATAAGCAATTTTAATTTTCATATAAAATGCACTACAGTACTGTGTTTCTAACTGATCCTAATAAAATACTACATCTCTATCAGCCAACATATAATATACATAAATACTGCACATTAAATAAAATTTCATTAACTTTATATAAATAATTTAATAACTTTTACAAAATATGTAACTATTCCAGCGACTCATCACAAACAAACATGATTATGGGAAACTAACCGTCATATAGAAAACTACTAATACCTTCCGTGAAAATAGCAGTTCTGGATTTCTGAAGCTCAATTCAGAAAGAAATAAAACTCAACATCAACTAAAATACAGGGTCTCTTAGTACAGTTGGTTTTATTCTCGACTCGCAGTTGGGGATCCAGGGTTTGATTCCTGGGTGGGACAGTTAGGCACTTTCCTGTCACCTAATGTCTCTGTTTACTGAAGAGTAAATTGATACCTAGGAGGCTAGACAACTGTTGTAGAGATGCATCCTGGGGAGGGTCAGTGGTTTGCCCTTGGGGGGGGGGGGGGGGGGGGCCTCAACATAGGCTTAAAGTATATATTTCTTAATACTGGTATATACACAAACTTTCTGTCTGACAACAAATTATACAAGTACTGTACATCATCACTGTCTTTACATTAATAGGGAGAAGGTCCACTATCATACCACCAGAATTTCCTATCATATGTACCTGGAGTGGAGTCTGGGAATTCAACTCCCCAAGCCCAGCCTGGGGCACCGCTTGACTTGTGAGAGTTTGATCCAACAGACTGTTGTTTGGAGCTGACCAAAGGCCCACATCTACTACAGCCCAGTTGGTCCACAGTACTTCAAGGAAATTCATATTTTTCCTTGACAAACTATTTTTGCTCAAGCAATATTTCTTAGATTTGCTGGGAGGATATTGAACAGCCATGGATCTCTGATGTTCATCCAGACTTCTCTAATTGTGCCTATGGCACCTCTGCTTTTCACTGGCTTAGCTCTATTCTGCATTTCCTACTATATCATTCACTCCAATATGTTGCTACTGTATTTTACTGTACAAATTTGGAACCTGGCCCTCCAGTGTTTTCCATATATATATTGTGACATCTCTCTTGCCTCCTTTCCAAAGAATACATTTTGAGAGTTTTGAGACGATCCCAATAATTTAGGTGCCTTATCGTGTCTGTGTGCCATACATGTTATCTGTATTCCTTGTATTTCATTAATCTCTCCTGCTCTGAATGGGTAAGTATTGAGCAGTACTCGAGGCAGGACAGCACAAGTGATTTGAATAGCATGAATGCTGTGATGGGATTCATGGATTTGAAGGTTCTTAAAATCCATCCTATTATTTATCTAGCCAATGCTAACTTTGCTTAGTTACCCTAAATGTTAGGTTGTCAGGCATCTTCATTCCCAGATCCTTTATGTGCTGCTTTCCTACTGTGAATAGCTCAAATTGTGTCTTGTTCCTTGTATTTCATTTAAGGTCCATTTTCTATACATAAGTACCTGGAATTTACCCTTTTTAATCATCATTTTATTTTTTATTTTCTGCTGCCCAATCAATAACTTTACTAATATCAGCTAGTAGTTTTCAATGTCTTCTTTAGAAGTAATTTTCAAGCTAATTTTTGTGTCATCTGCAAAAGATGATACAAAGCTGCAATTTGTATTTTGGCCTATCTCTGATGTGAGAATAAGAAAAAACAGGGATACAAGGACTGTGCCTTGAGATACAGAGCTTTTCACTGTGCTTGGATGTGATTTTGTTTCACTGTTACTCTTTCACTGCATTCCGTTTGACAGGAAATTGAAATCTATCAACCTACTTTACACGTTATTCCTACTGATCTCATTTTATGGGCTATCATTCCAATGATCACATTTACCAAATGCCTTTTGAAAGTCCGTGTATACCATATCTACATTTTGTTTTTCTTCTGATGGTTCCGTGATTTTGTCATAGTGGTCGAGTAATTGTGAAAGGCATGATACAGTATTCCCAATCAATGTTAACTTTGGTTGTGGAGGTCTTTTTTATCCATAAAACTAGAGATCTGACTTCTGATCACTCATTCAAAAATTTATAATGTGTGTGATGTTACTGTGACTTGTCTATAATTTTTAGCCCATGCTTTGCTCCCTATCTTGTGTTGGGAAGCTATATTTTCTTATTGAAGTGCTTTCAGTATCTATCCTTTATCCAAGCTTTTTCTCCACACACTACACCTAGTGTTTATGCTAGTGATACTTTTATTTTCTTTACAAATTTGAGAATTCTAGTACAATAGTCTGGACCCTGGGCTGAGTGCATATTGTCAATTTCTCTTAAAATCTGCAGTGAACGTGTTGATATGTTGATATATGTCGATATCGTTCATAAGGAAGTTACTCGGATTTACCACTTTGATGTTATTTATTTGGGGTGCTAAACATAGCTTCATACTGATCTTTTACGATTTCACTAATTTTCCTGTCATCCTGTGTATAAACCTTTACTGTACTTGTAAGTACAGTATACTTGTAGAGGTTATTTATTTTGATTTTAGCAACTTTGTTGGCCTCATGGAACTTTTCTGTCAGGCATTTGCCACTTTTTTGTTAGCCATTTGCAACTTTTTGTTGGGCGTTTGCCACTTTTTTTTAACGGGTTCTGTGCCTTTTTTGTCATATGTGAACGGATTATGTTGCCTTTTCCTCATGTCTGAACAGGTTCTCTGTCTTTTTCGTATCATATGAACGTGTTATGTTACTTTTTCCATATCTGAAGGGGTTCTGTGCTTTTTTTCCTAATTTTTAAATGGGTTATGTTATTTTTATCAAGTCTGAATGGGTTCTCTGCATTTTTCGTCATATTTGAACAGGTTACGTTTCTTTTTCATCACGTCAATTTCATCAGTTTCTGCTCCATTTCTTCAACCATCTTGTTTAAAAGATTTTTCTCTGTTGAGATAGTTGTGTCTTCTTAGCACTTGTGTTATTTTTGTCCTTCTGTAGTCTCATCTGAGGTCTTTAAGCTGATTTTCTTTCTGACCTTCTGCAGAGGAACATGCTTCAAGCAAACTTTGCATGCTTTAGCAGACAATTGTTCTAGTCCTTTAGTTGGGGTTTATTATCGAGTTTTAAAATAATTTCCCCATTGAATGTTTGCAAGTTCTACTGGTATGTTTATTTTTTCCCAGTCAATCCTCATATTATTAAAATTGAATTTATTAAATAATCCTTCTTGCTAGACAATTTTTTTTAGACGTGTTACAAGTAATAATGTTAAGTTTCATTTCAATGGGTTTGTGATCTGAGTATGTCACAAATTCCTATAATATTTCAATATTTAAAATTATAATCTGAAGCCCATTTCAACTTTAAAGACATACTAACCTCATCACTGAGCAAGTCAAAATAATGCTTAGGTTTAAACTTCTCCACCCAGAGTGACTCCTTGTTTGTGTCATCCTCGTCCTCCACACCAGACTCCATGCCAGAATCCTCAGCTTCTTGCATCTGTGCAGCTCGTCTGGCATCTTGTCGAATTTGCTGAAGAAAATTGCAAAAAATTAGGGTAAATTTGTCTAATACAGATTCTACCCCAACCCTCCCTCTCCTACCCCATTGACATTAATCCCACATCAAATATTCTTGATGTGTTCACACTGATCCTTTAATACTTCTACCAAGACACTGATCTTCTGATTGTGAAGACACTGACTGTACTACACCAGCATACACCCCTTTCAGTTCATGGCTACATTGGCCTTTTTTATTATTTTTTACAAAAGATGTGCCTTCACCTCAATCTTCACTATTTGCCCATTCCCAAAATGCACATGCATATCTACTTTAATAACATTTCTCACCTCATTTTCTGCTCGTGCTCTCAGCACAGAGTACGGTATGTTGAGAAAACGAGCCGACTTCTGAACTGCAGCTAAAGAGGTCACTTGCCTGTCCCATTCTTCATCTTCTATCTTATTTAGGTAAAAACGCTCACCAGTCTCAGTTGTGATGGCCTGGAAGGCCCCATCTGGTATGTGTCGATGAATATGTGCAGCATGTCGAGCCCTAAAATAATAATTGTATTTAATTTCCCTGAAATACAGTACAGACTTAGGAAGTAACAAAAAATGTTTATACTGTATTCATTTTGTAAAGAGGTGACAATGGAAATGGGATGAATTAAAAACAACAGAGTCAGTTTTATGTAGGAGGATAAAAGCTATATATATTTGTGTAATTATTATACTCAGGAGGAAAAATCAATTCCTAGAAGGGTGATATCCAGAAAAGATTCATGTCATTTTGGGATACTACCATTGATATAGTGTGTACATGTATCTAACAAAGTGACTACAAGCAAGACAGCCAGACACCACCTCCAGCAAACCATCTTCTAAAGAAACCTCTACATAACTATTTCTGTTATTGATAATGTAAGAAACCCATAAGTGGGCTATACTATACATTTAATTTATGAAAATACTCAATCGTGCTAAAAAGACACTTACGTTTAGCACTGCAGGGGCAAAAAAAATTGAAATATACAACGAGCACACAATAATATGCATTTACCATATCAAGACTTTTTAACTTCTCTCGTAACTGCTGCACATACAAGCACTCATTATCATTACCCAGTTTCTCACCATCAGGTGGGGGAGGCATCACTAAGTCACTAAAATACCAAAATCAAATATAGCTCATAACATGCAGCCTGGAAATTAGTCTATTTACCACAATAAGTCCCCTCCTCCTGTGGATCTTACAAACCTCCCACAACAGAGAACAAAATACAGTGAAAGAATTGACCAAGAAATAGACTTGAACTATGGCACTGTTCATACAGGTGTGCAAATAAAGTAGAATATTAATAAAAAAAGAATGACTTGGTGCTGAAATCCACCTAAATGTTCAGTAACAACATGAAGAGAAAACAGCACACCATTTTTCATCTGCAGTTGATGGTGCAGACTCTTGGAACTCGCTGACGTGGAGACTTTTGCGTATTTCTGTAATACGTTCAATCAGGGATAAGTCTGCTTCATGTGCCTCCAATTCTAAGGTTGAGTCTCTGGTGCCTATACCAACAAGAGGAATCGGTAGTTTGCGCCTTTTCTTTCCTGAAGCACAAATAAAAAAAAAAATTAATTTTTTTCCTTTGCATCTCTAAAATATTAACTAGTAAATAAATTACTATGGAATGCCATATTTATCTGTAATATGAACCAGCTAACCTGTTCTTCATTTACCAAAAACTGCTCTTCATTCAAGCATAACATTTTTCTACTTGCCTATTTTCTTACTCAATTAAAATAACTAACAGGCAGTGATTGTCATTCACAGCAAAGTTGACAATCTCATACCAAAAACTACGGGTAATTAAGCAACCTAATAATCCTAGCTAGCAGATGCACTTGTAATATGACCATATTTAACACAGAGTGCCTTTGGCAGAGTTTGTGGTGCAATAGATCTGTCTATTCATAGGGATTTAAAAGAAAATTAGATATTAATGAATAATGTTAAGTTAACAGTAATCCGAGTAGTCAAAGATATTGTACTTAGCTTTAGATAATTTGATTACTAGTACAGTATCAACATTAACATATTCAAATAAAGAGGAATAGAAATGCCAAGTCTGAATGTAAACTATAGAGGATACTGTGATGGTGGAAGATACTGCAGATTACTGTAATTACCAAAGTGTAGTTACAGGACGAGAACTACACTCGTGGTATCTAGTCTTCCCAGTACTCTGTCATATTATACCTATGCAGGTATAATATGACAGATACCTGTATAATACAGATAATAATATAATATAGATACCTGTATAAAGGTATAATATCTGTACTGTATTATACCTTTATTATTATTATACCTGTGCAAGCTATCTATTGTTTAAATTGCCATCCACACTTCCGTGGAAATAAACATTCCATTTACCTGGACTGAATAGGTCTTGAACCGTGGACCCCACTCATGTGAGGCCGTAACTATCAACTGGGCTATGAGCAAAATTAAAAATACCAAAACAATCTTTTTAAGACTGTTCATAGCCGAGTTGATAGAGCTACAGCCTCACATGCACGGGGCCCACAGTTCGAGATCCATGCAATCCAGGTGAATGGGATACCTACTGTTTTCTGCCGCATCTTCATTCAAGTACAGGTCCAAGTCATCTTCGCGTAGATCATCCAACAGTCTCTTATGAACACTAGTAGTTCCACTTTGGATCTCCTCTGGCAAGGTGGTTTCAATTACACCTTTGGAAATACAAAATAAAAAAAAATTCAGAGTGAAACCTCCAATTTGACTTACTGTATTTCTCCTTACAAGTACAGCATTATGGCAGCTTTTGAGAGGGTATTTATTTGTTGACTGGTTATATGGACTGGGGGGGGGGGGATACCCCCAGTCCATATAATCAACAAATTTCACAATATTATATACAGTATTCTTAATTTTGTTGAAAATGACAAAGTTTTAGATTTATGATTCTGGCACGAATCTTCTCGGTATTCCTATATTTTTCTTCACTGAAACAAGAAGATTAAAAATTAACTCTCCAAAGTTAATTTTTACTTTTTATTTGGGTCTGATGCCTAGTGATGCATTTTGCAAGGTCTCACCTCACATTCTCAAAGACAAATTCTACTGTGTTGGCACCTGGTTACATCCTCTTATGGTGAGATGGTTAGGTGACATATGGATGTATGACATTACATGGGGTATTAAATTAATGGGTATTAAATTAAGAGTGTGACATGTTGGCAGCTTATGTTCTTCTGGTTGCTTCCATTCCTGTCGGAGGGTCATTCAGTCCAGCTTCTGCATTGGCCCGGGGCCTTGAAATGAGTAGTGTAACTGAGTATTAGCTGGTTATTGATTGCTGGTCTAGATTTCTTGATATGCAGCACTTCACCGATGTCTAATCTTCTATTGTTATTGTATCAATTATTTCGGTGTTGCTCGTCAAAATATCCCTGATGATCATCTCGTGTGTGTGTGGGGATTACATGTTCCTTGATGGAGCCCTGTTCTTTGTGCATTGTTAAATGCCTGGAGAGAGACGTTGTTGTCTTGCCTATACACGGAGTTCGTGTGCGTTTGCTTTTTCTGCAAACACCCTGCAAGTGAAAATGCCTTGCAAGGTTGTGCAGGGCATTTTCTTTGTGCTGTTATTAAATTCCTTAATAGAATTGTTTACTCTCATACAGGAGCATGGTAATCCTGAAGTTGCTCTCTCCCTGCATGTCAACTACCAACCCGAGCCCTTTTACTGCAGGCCAACTGCCTTCAGACAAACTTAATAAACATTAATCGACTTCTTCTGAACCATCTCATTTCCCTTATTATATCAATCAACTTCTCCTTCCCATCCTTTTTTCTTTCTTATCCATTAATTCACACTCAAGATAATTGTACAGTATTCATTTGTCATTTATCCATTTCTACAATCTTTCATTTTCTATTAACCTTAAGCTGCATATAACTAATTGTTAATTTATATGAATATTTTAATTTATATTTTTACTGAATACATGCATTATTTACACAATTGTAGTGTAGTTTGTTTGGAAAAAAAAAAAAAAAAGACACTCACTACTATCTGAAGAGAAACTGGACTTAGTTGCCACTTTGGTTACAGACGGACTTTCAAATTTCAGACAGCGTTTGATACTTGGAGGAATACTTGCTGCTTGTATTGATGCCTCTTCTTCATCAAAATCTGATAAATAAAAGAAAAGATACAGTATTAAAGAAATATGATGAAAGACCTTTACAATACTGTATTTTATTGAAGCTTTTTGCCAACTAATATTTTTCCTAAAAAGGAAATTTTAAAGATGTACTCGCTAGGTCGTGCTTGGGGGAAGGGAGGTAACTATCAGGAGAAATTGCCAAGCCATTACGACTATAAAACACTTGGAAGGGGGTCAGGATAAGGATTTGGGATGGGACGGGGGGAAAGGAATGTTGCCCAACTACTTGGATGGTCGGGGATTGAACATCGACCTGCATGAAGCGAGACCGTCGCTAAACCTTCCATATAGTAGTAATTCAACACAACATAGGGAGTTACATGTGTATAGATGGTGTTTCAGTGGGTATTTTTTAAAATGACATTCGGTATGTGTAGAGTACAACAGGAACAACACAATCAAAAAAGGATTACAAGAGGAATTGGTTGAGAGTTGGGCACCATTCCTTCCCCCGTCCCATCCCAAATCTTTATCCTAACGTTGTTGTTATTGATTCAGCTACTCGGAACAATTTCAAAGTAGCACTGGCTATGGTGAGCTCATAACTTAACTGGCACAGGAGCAACTTTTTTTTTTTTTTTTTTATCCTGACCCCTTCCAAGTACTATATAGCATATAGTCGCCTCCCCTCCAACAAACACCTCACCGTTCATTTCCTGCAAGAGCTCCATCTCGTCGGCATGTAGCATCTCGTATTCATCATCTGGATTAGGAAAATCGTCCATTTTGAGTACAAAATTCGATCTCTAAACCTCAGGAAATCTTGTTGGTTGAGAGGCGACGACCAATACTCAGTGGCTCCAACTCACACTTCAAACATAAACAGTAACAGCTGATGCTTCCCGCCATGTGAAGTCAAATGAGTCCCCATTTTAATATTTATTATACACATACACAAAAAATATATACGTAAGGTACAGTTTGTGAAAGTACATATTTTGGTGATTATATCTTTAGATATTTTTGTAACTTTGAAAGAATGTAATTTACAAGCCAACATTGTAACAGAACCATTCTTCAGAACTTAACTTAATCCGCCGAAGCCGTAAATATCACATTTCTGCTGAATTTAATAATGAAATCGATAGATTTATACATCTGACAAGCCGCCGGCTTAATATCTTTGGCATGGCCACTATAGAGATGGTGCTCTTCAGGTAAATTTAGGTCAATAACATATTAATATTTTATTTAAGCAAGAGTTCATACGTGAAAACAAAAAATATGAACCTTGGAGGATCCTAGATATTATGTACAATGCTTAAAGCCACTAATACGCACAGCATTTCGGGTTTAATGTAAAAAAACAATAGGAGAACAATATACAAGCTTAAAGAAAGAAATTGAATGTGGTAATTCTTAAACTAAGTGAGATAAGGTAACATTTATGAATTGATGAAGAAAATTAGAAAAGTCATTTCCCAGTCTGGGACCCTTAATATGCAGAGCATTTCTACTGTGGTTAAGTCGCACTCTTGGAATATCACAAAAATATATATTTCTCGTGAGGTGTCCATGGGTTCTGTTACAGCACTGTTATAGGTTAAGGTCCGCAGAATTAGCGTGGCAGTGAAGAGTTTTATATATACAGAGTACATGCATTTAAGAGGATGTGCATTTGATTTAACATATTCAAAGATTTCAGTAAGGAAGCCGAATTCTGTCAGGGACTGGAGATTGCTACTGTTTCGCCCTTGTGCGCGCTTCGCAAGCGATTTGACCTGGGTTCCGGAGGATTGACTAGGCAGCAATCCTTAACTGTAACCTCTGTTGACCCAGTAGTGAATGGATACCCGTTAAACGATTCGTTGGGTCGCATTCCAGGGAAAATTAGGATTAAGGACCTTCGCGAAACGCTATGCGTTCTAGTGGCTTTACAAAACTATAAGAACTCTTGTATAAAAAAATTATCTGACTGCTGATTTATAGTGCCAATGTCAGATTTGTCGAAAATATGTACCTTGCATACATCAGATTTAGTGGATTATGCTGCACCTCTGCTTGCTTTGGTGCCTGAAAGAAAGCTTAGAGGGCTTGAAAACTGCAGAACGAAGCCTTGAGGATAATCCTTGGGTGTCCTCGTACAACAAAGATACACATATATATGTCTGCTGTATTTCCTTTCGCATATTTAATATGTGAAAGGAGCTAATTCACTGATGTTAATGAGATAATCCTTTCACTTAAAACCAAGTCTAGTGTCCTTGAGGAGATACCAACTCTAATTTACAAAAAAGCCTCCAGCTCTTTAGCTGCTGCCATTGCATTGCTCTTCAACAAGTCACTTGAACTCCAAACCTTTCCAGATATTCTTAAAAAAAAGTGAGGGTAACCCCTGTCCACAAATGTGGTAATCTCACTGATGTCAACAACTTAAGACCTATATCAAGTCTGCCAAACTTGTCAAAAATATTTGAAAACTAATCTACAGGCAGCTTTACTCTTATCTAGACAAACACAATATACTTAGCTCTTGTCAATATGGCTTCAGACCCCAAAAAAAAGCACTAACGATGCACTTATCAGTATGATTAACTTGATACATGCAGCTCTTGATAAAAATGAGTTCCCTGTTGGGTTATTTGTAGACCTGCGTAAGGCTTTTGACACTGTCAACCACCAAAACATTCTTCTTAAATTACATCATTATGGAGTCAGAGGTCACTCCCTGCAATACCTTAAATCTTACCTTACCGACAGGCTCCAGTATGTTTCTGTGAATAATTCAATTTCTCCCACCCTACCTATCAACATTGGTGTTCCTCAGGGCAGCATACTTGGCCCTCTCCTCTTTCTCATCTACATTAATGACCTTCCAAATGCCTCCCAACACCTTAAACCAATTCTATTTGCTGACGACACAACCTTCATTTACTCCAGTCCTGAACCCTTTGCTGTAAATGTCACAGTGAATATCTCTGGCTAACTGCCAACAAACTCATCCTCAACTTGAGAAAACTTTCTATATTTTGTTTGGCAATAAATCCTCAAATCAAATAAATCTCATGATAAACAAGACCCAAATTTTTAACAAAGTAGATGGCAAATTCCTTGGCGTTCTCATTGACCACAAACTGAATTTCCAGAGACACATTCTAAATATATCAAAAAAGTTTCAAAACTGTTGGCATTCTTTCTAAGATCAGATATTATGTACCTCGCCCTGCCCTGGTGACGCTCTATTACTCTCTCATCTATCCTTATCTCAACTATGGTATTTGTTCTACTACCCAAAATAATTTACTAATTAATAATTTAATTCTAATTACTCAACACAAAGCTGCTATTGGGACAATATCTAACTCTGGCCCCCAGACATCACTCAGCACCCTTACTCAAATCTCTGAATATGTTAGATATTAAGTCCCTGTACATCCTCACATGTGTATTTTATATATATATATATATATATATATATATATATATATATATATATATATATATATATATATATATATATATATATATATATATATATATATATATATATATATATATATATATAGAGAGAGAGAGAGAGAGAGAGAGAGAGAGAGAGAGAGAGAGAGAGAGAGAGAGAGAGAGAGAGAGAGAGAGAGAGAGAGAGAGAGAGAGAGAGAGAGAGAGAGAGAGAGAGAGAGAGAGAGAGAGAGAGAGAGAGAGAGAGAGGAGAGAGAGAGAGAGAGAGAGAGAGAGAGAGAGAGAGAGAGAGAGAGAGAGAGAGAGAGAGAGAGAGAGAGAGAGAGAGAGAGAGAGAGAGAGAGAGAGAGAGAGAGAGAGAGAGAGAGAGAGAGAGAGAGAGAGAGAGAGAGAGAGAGAGAGAGAGAGAGGGGGGAGGGAGGGAGGGAGGGAGGGAGGGAGGGAGGGGGGGGGAGGGAAAGCAAGCCACTTGTACCACTGGCCAGGCCAGAGAGGTGAGCAAGATGATCTCAGGTCCAGTAAGATCAACATAGTTTAGTTGCCCTAAAAATGAGTCGCGGCGGACGGTTGAGAGAGCACGTACTCCATGTTGTGTTGGTTACGTCACATAAGAGTCATAGACCACGTCAAACAGGCCATGACTCTTCTGACACTTACCTGTATATCCTGCTGACACTGTCCACTGATCCTGGTTGCCAACCGCCCTGAAAAACTGCCTGCTGTCTCATGTCTCTTTTCAGTCTTTCCTCTCTACCTGCCTTCTGCTGCCACCAATAATAACAATACCTTAAGTTTCTATGCCTGTATAATCACCCTATCCTCCTCTCTCTCTCTCTCTCCCTCCCTTCCTTCCTTTGTCCCTATTTTCCTGGCTACCTTCCTTCTCTTATCACTATAACTCCCTCCCTCGATCCTTCCTGAAGCCCCTACCCACAAATCATGCTGTACCTTTAGAGAACAGGACACAAATCCACCCGAAGTGTTCCCTCTTAATATAAACACAAATAAATACTATGCTTTCGTCTCCCAGTCAACCGAAGAAGACATTTTATGGTCAGTGCTACTGTTATTCTTTCTTGTTAACATGCTAACCTATCACCACGTTAATTTAATCTGTCCGTCTGTTAACATGTTAACTTGTTAGCCTGTTAAACTGTCGGCCAGTTAACATGTTAATCTGTTAGCATGTTGACTTATCAGCCAGTTAACATTTTAACATTATAGCAAGTGATGGTATCGGCTTCCCTCCAAGCACATGATTAGAACCCAAGCACACAAGCTTCCTGTTCATTATCATATTATTCTTGATCAGAGTGGGCCCAGCCCCTCGGGCTGCTTCAAGCATCCATGCTTTTTGCGCTACCGCTCACAGGATGGGTATGGGGTGCACAATAAACTAGCTGCCTCCGGCGGCAACAATAAATAAAGATGGATGTTATCACATATGTGTTCTTGTTGCAAGGTTTCAATGGCAGTTCTCGAATCTGTATGTATGATAACATGTTGTCCGTGTTCAGCAAGAGCATGTTCCAAAGCCTTTTGAATGGCTAGCATCTCTGTAAAGTCGAACACCCATTTGAGAGTCTCCAACTATTTACAGAGTTTCCTGCTTTAACTGCAGCTCCGGTTTCTTGTCCCTGCTGGTCTACTGATCCATCTGTGAAGTATGTGAAGCTGTCGGATGCCAAGTTTGCTTCTATATGCATCTGTGCAATATTACGTAGCAGATGAGGATCTGTTTGGTTCTTTTTTCCTTCAAGAACCATAATCTTAAAGTCTGCTGGCGGAGATTTCCAAGGGGCTTGCATAACAAAGTCTACACCCCTTTCAGTGATTGTGTTTGTTATATCGAATGTATTTAGGGTGTTTATCAATTAAGATATTTTGGGTAGTATTAAGGAGGATATATTGATCTACTGTATGTCTACACAACAGAATATCTATTCGAAGTTGGAGGCCTGGGGCTGGGTAGGGGAGTGGCATAACCCAGTCTGGATCGGCCCAATTTTAAGGACTTCAGGAAATATCGAAATTAATAGAGAACTAAGGCCCCTTCCCTCCCCCCTCCTCCCGTGGGATTTTCATGAAGTCTAGTCTGAAATGTTGTTTATATTTCCCACAGTTATTCAGCAATTTGAATGCTGGCTCATAATGCACCTGGAGTCTGCCAGTGCAGATTACTTATCACATGCCTCTGTATGACTAACCATCCTGTGTGATGGGGCTTATTTAGCATCACGTAGATAGCTTTTTGACACTACTCCCCTTCATATAGTCTAGGGCAGCTGCACAAATGCAGATGTACCTATTGTATTAATAATAACAAAAACACAAGATATTATCAGTACCGAGCAACAAACATCGTTTACCTCACCAACACATATTAAACCAAGCAACGCTAATAGCATTGTCTAATCATGGTATTCGTTTGCAGAGAGCTTGCCAGATGCTTAAT